AATCCATCTCGCGCCACTTTGAAACCTAACCCTTGGAAACCATTCTTGGTATTATGTAGGGTAGTCATCGTTTCAGGGATTCTCGGGAGGTGCGAGAAGCGGATCTCGCAACCATCCACAGTCGTACCTTGAGGGATAGCTGATCCTGTTAGGCCGTGGCAGTTTGTTACGAGCATATTACTCTTCGAACCTCCAATGCTTGCGTGTTCCTGTGGTGTTTGTGTTCCGACCCTTGAAAGAGAGGTCCCAAGGAGGTCAAAATACATAAATTGGGGGTTGAGCTCACAAAGGCAGCCCATGACAACTCTAGCATTCCTGATGCAGCTCTCGTGCCACAGCACAGCTTCGCAACAGGGCACCAGCCACCAAAGCAAGTGAACTGCTTTTTGTTGCCCGCCAATGATACCCTGTTGGGAAGCGCCAGGAACCCACCGAGGTTGCCTGCACATCTGCTGTACGGCCGCAGCTTGCTTGCACGTTGCGCTTCTGTTTGTTCCCAACTCCAAAACCTGCTTACATTGACCCCATGGAACCTCCCGACTTTCGGGTGGAACCAAAGAAAGCCAAACACCGGGGGGCCAGCAAAGGGTCGATGCTTGGGTCTCTTTTCTTTGCAATAGTGTCCTGGTGAGTGACTATACAGACACACAATAGCTGTTGCTGCTTTTGGGGCCTGACCCCCCCCCTAACAAGAAAACGCCGCGCACTCAGTTGCACTGAGCGAGTCGCAAAGACCAAAAGTGTCCTGGTTGACATGCTTGCTTCCAGCCAGGAAGTGCAGTTGTCCATTCCTGCCAAAGAAGCAGAAAAGGGCCAACAAAAAGGCCCCGGAGCCCTGGAAGCCCTGGGATGCATCCGCGGTCTGTTAACCAGCAACCAAAAATCCGAAGGTATTCCCCAAAACGAAAGACACGGCAGTCTGGGCACCAGAGGTTTCCGGTGTCCCATCTTTCAGGGGAAAAGGCGGACCTGCACGTCCGGTCGGGCCTTGCACAACAGCAGCCCCAGAAACCGTGTGCTGAAAGTCAATGATCAACAGCAGGATCGATTGCCTCGGCGTCCGTTCAGCCAAAGGCCTGGGAAACCCCTTGAAGCCGTTCGGAAAGAAAAAAAAATGCGGCCCCACGGAAGATCTACAGCCGTCCAGCGAATTCTGGGATAAGTCATGCGGGTGTTCGGGACACAGAACACGTGGTCCTATCTTCCCGAAGAGACAGAAGAAGTCATACTTACCCCTTAAAACTCCAAGCCCTGGGGAAGTTAATCTTTTACAGACATATAGCCCATGTTACCCAACAAGTTGAAAAGTTGTGTTTTTAAGAGGTAAGCATATGTCCAGATCTTCATGGAAGTTCTTGGTACACTCTGGCGCCAGAAAACGCCTGGCCCCAGGGGCTGGAAGGCAAACTCCTTCGCCTCCGGTGTGCAAAAACACCAGTCATACCGACCACATCGCGCTATGCCTCAAAACCACACCCTTAAAACTCCCTATGGCGCTATGCCTCAAAACCAAACCAACAAATTCCCCCCCCCCCCCCGAAAAAGGATCGGCCCTTCACGAGCCAAAACCGGAGGTGAAACTTCAGGCCAGCCGCGGCCCATGCCGCTTCATCAGCAAGTTCAGCAGCCTGAGGCGTATGACTGGCTTGGGGCCAAACGGAAGTTCAAAGCAGGGTACTCCTCATTGCTTTGGCAATTCATGTTGACCCCATATGAATCAACCTCAGTTTGCTATTAGGGGGGTGGGGGGCCCTCCAAAAGTGATGATTCCCTGCTAAACTTAGGGACACCCCCTGCTAATCGACTGGGGTTGATTAAGATGGGGTATTGCGGCCAAGTCGAACCGCACACTTGCATGGTGGCTAGACAATTTGTCCAATGACTTAGTGTAAAAGGACAAGCCCCTGCTTCAAAGGATGTCTTTGTGGGCAGGCATTCCCGTGCAAAAAGCGCTTGGCTGCACTTTGCCATGGATCTTGGCTTAAAGCCGGGCTGTGATGCGTGACGCTCTGCGAGTTTTTGGTTCTTGCATGGCTACTCAAAAAGAAGCTTCTCAAGCGCAGGGCAGGCTAGATCGCTGCCTTGGCATTCCAGGTTTGCAGCGCAGTCTGCGCATGTCTGCGCCAGCAGGGGCCTTTCATGTTGACCCCGCATCGCGCGTCAGTCTGCGTGAGCTCAGCTCGATTGGATGCTCGACACCTCTCCCAAGAGCATCAGTCAGTCTGCCTCACATTCTGACGCCACACGCAAACATTTGGAACCCCCCAGCAAACCCGTGCCTTCCCCACCGCAACAACGAGGGGGCACCTTAGGGGCCTTGCGTCTGCGCGCCCCGAATATGAAGCCGAGAGGCTCCTAAACTTGGTCCAGCTCCGATGTCGAAGGGATGGTTCGGACGAAGAGCACAGCTTCAGATCTCGCATCGATGGAGTTGAAGCGCTTGATACCTCACCAATGACGGCGGCTGGGTTGGTCAATTTTTGACTGGGCCCTACAAACTGATAGGTGTGTCTGTTGGTTGTCCTTGAAACCCCAGTTGCTGGGGTACCCGTAAAAAAAGACGGCCACCCTGCCGTCCTCACTTTGAATTGAAAAAAAACCCACAGGTGATTCATCCGAAACTGTCAGGTCAGCGGAACACCTCCATAACCACGACCCGATTGTGGGAAGAAGCGGATTGCCCACAAGAATTTCCAGCAAATCCTGCGGCATGTCCTCACACGCACGTCTGAACAACCGTGAAAGACCGCCAACTGCCTTCGCCTTCGTCCGCACTTCTCAGAGCCTCAGGGCGCGGCGGCGCTTGTATCTCTCATGCATGCCAGGGTCAGTGGGATCGTCATGCCAGAAGGAGTGGAAGTAGTCGCGATACCTCAGCACTCGGCCGCTTGCGCCTGGTGATCTCAACTAGGCACCGGGAATTGGAGTTCAAACATGTTTCAAGAGTTCCCAATTGGGTGTGTCGTTTTGGAGGTTACCCGCTTTGGTTGGTTTTCAAGGGAAACCAAAAGGAAAAAAAAGGCTCTGCTAAAATCACCCACACCAAAAACAAGACGGCATGGCCAAATGCAAGCAAGCCACGTTGTCATCTGACATCCGGGCACCACCTGGCGCTCTCTGGGCAGCATGAAGCACCAAGAAGCCGGCTGCAAGCCTCTTGAGAACGCCATACTGCAATCACCCCGGTCCAAGCCCAGCCGAGCCTTCTTGGAGGTGAATTCAAAGAAGCCTCGCAAATACAGGACTGAGGAATCTGAGCCAAGCTGCCTTGAATCTCCACTGATCCACTTCTCTTGCTGCGATAGGAAGAGAATGAATATCCGAGTCCGGGTTTTGGGAAGGAACCCTTTTGGGCTTTCCTCAAAGGAAACCATAGGCGATGGGCTGGTTCTCGCACCGATCAAATAAGTCTTGCCGGGCAGCCATTGAAGTTTGTGCGCTCGTCCCAGCCGTTCTGCAGAAAGTGCACCAAGCCCTCGAGAGCCATCAACGTCGATCATCGGTTTGAATGTCACTTCAGCAAAAGTCCATGGGCATCTTTTTGAGCGATTCGCTTGGGTAGATCATGGTTTTCACGGGTTTGCCCCATTTCGGGCCATTTTCCCGAAACCATTGACTCCATGGACTCCATCTCCGGGGCCCAAGCCCACATTGATTCTCTCATCTCTCAAGGGGAGACCCCTTCAAACGGCTGTGGTTGTCAAAACCAAGGGGATCCCATTTTGGTTGGTAGGTGAATTCACCACCCATTTTAGAACCTACTTTAGTGGGGATTGGGATGTTCACTGGGGGCTAACCGGGCTTTTGACCCATGGCCAAACTTCAGTTTGTTTCGGGGGGGGGGGGAGCAGCTTCTTTTCTTTCGTATACACACCGAACGGCAGAAGCCTCCACCCCGGTATTCTACTTATGCGGTGATTGTTACTTACGTCTCTTCCAATGCTCTAAGGTGTCCTTTTGGTTGTAGATGGGACAACACTTTTCACAAACCAGTGGAGCCCATCAATTTCCAAGCAATCTAACCGATCAAAAGGACACTTATGGCTATGGTCTGAATACCGGAGGTATTCAGCGTTCGAACACCGACTCATTCCCTTGCCACAATGCTTGCTTTTCATGTAAGGAACCTGCCATGTTCCAAACAGGCTAGTTGCCTGCGTTCCATTCGGCTCTCCATTTCCTCTGAATCAAAGACAGGATAAGCGCCCGTAAAAGAGCAAGAGATATGGGCTGAAGGAAGCAGTCGGGCGCCTTCTTTTTAACATGGCCCCGCTCTTGGGTGTTAAAGCAAACTTCTCGAAGCACTCCAGTCTCTCGCCTCGTGGCGTGTCCGCATCCAGTCAAATGGCAAGGTCTCTGCTCCCCGGCCGATGTTCTTGAAGGAGAGCTTCCTGGCCCCACAAAAACCCCGTGGTTCACCCAGAGCTCGGGGGTCGCGCGGGCCAAATGTCTCAAACTCAGGGATCGCCCCAGGTCTCCCTACGGGGAGACCCGGTTCCCTTCCAAACGGCGGGAGACCCACCAGCCCGCATCCAAGGGACGGCCCGCAGAAGCAGCCCAGGGAGACCAGCATGATGCCTTCGGTCCTTAGGCAAAACCCGTTCCCAACCACTTAGACTCAGACCCTCTGCGATCTTTTATGCCGATGTGCCTGTGCGTGTGTGTCAAAATGGGGATTTGGTTCGGTTTCATTCTGTTTCCCTGGTTGGCGCGGGATCTTTGGTAAGCACGCCCAACAAAAATTGGGGCAATGCATTCTTGTTCGGGGACTTGGTTGCAAAACAAACTTGCAAAACTAGGTTCCAGTTGTAAAGCAGACTTGGCAAGGTTGCAAAACTGCAACCCTTCCTGCAAGACTTTCCAACAGAAGGCTTTTGTAAAAGATGTCAAAATCTACAAATGTTGTTTTTTTGGTTACATTTGTTGGAAAGGTGGCCATTGCCAGCTGGTCGGTGTGCAAGTGTAAAATGCACAGAGGCTTAAGTTGTCACATCTTTGCAAGGAGACTTATATAAGCTTTGTAAGGAGTCTTGGAAGCTTGCAAGGAGCTTTGGAAGGAAGGATGCGGCCGCTTTTGGAGGTGGGGCGGGGCGAAAAATGGTTCTGTTGTTTGGGAATGCAGACGCAGTAAAATGACTTCAGGGGGTGGTGTGGGGGGTCAGCTGGGATTTGGTGGGCTGGAGTTTGGTGGGCTGGGGTTTGGTGGGCTGGGGTGGGCTGGGCTGGGCTGGGCTGGGCTGGGCTGGGCTGGGCTGGGCTGGGCTGGGCTGGGCTGGGGTGGGCGGGGCGAGGCACAACCGACCGCTTGGCTGAAAAGCAAATGAATACACAACCAAAATCTGAGTGCTCAGACGACCGCTGCGAGTGCACAGACGAACCCCTGCCCTTCCCTTTAAACTAGGCCTCAACGAAGTACCTACCGATCCTCAAAAAACACACACACCTGATTGAGTTGATTGTTTGCTTCACAGCCAGCCACATGAAAAATGTAACCTGACTCTTCACTTGAGGGAAGCTAGGTTTCGGGTGGATTGTGGGTTGTTTCAATTAAGGGTCGGCTGAACTTTGATTTGGAATTTATGCGCCTGTTACGCACAGTTCGTTGGCCCAACTGCGACCAGATCCCGGGTGCCACACCAAGGCTCTCCTGGTCTACTCGGCTCTTGCCATCTGGGAGCGCGTCCATGAGGTCGGACTCCTTGCGGAAGAAGTTCGAAGCTACGCTTTGAGTACCATCCGCTTGCTGAGACCCATGCTGCGATCCCTGCCACTTGGCACTCAGCGCCACATTCACTCTCTGCATGCAGGGGCGGCAGCCAACGCATGAAAGGCCCGTTCAAATTTACGCAAGCCGTTGGGGCCATCTCGTTTTAGCTTGTATCAGGGGTCTCTAACACACCTCAAAGGGAATGTCATACATTTAACAAGATGACATTCACACAACACCAGCCAAACACAGAGAATAAGAGGTGCCAGGTAGGCTCCGGCTAGCCTTGGGAGCGACCCTCAACACCTTTTGACCGGGGCGCTAGTCGCTTCCAAACATGAAACAAGACCCCCATGCCTTGTCGCACGACTACAAATTCAACTGCGGACACTTGACGAGCCTGATGCAAATTTGAGCTTCAGTTGGCACGAACCTACGCGTTGGTACAAACTCAGAAAATTGTTCTAGCACCCTGAAGCCTCTTACAATTAGAATGTTCGTATTGTTTTGCAGGGCTTGGGGCCTACTTGGAAATAGCAGTTTGTCAGCACAAGTACAGCAATTACGCAAATGCGCTTTGACAGCTCCCAGCTCGAACATCGCAACTTGTCAGTTTAGTACGCGATCTTTTATGCGTTGCGCTGCAGTACGCTGTGTCAAAACTAGCAGCTCCAGGTTGAAACGGGAAGCTTGACTGAAATGAGCGGCAGCATTTGCCAAATGAGCCTCAAGCCTATGAGCAAGCCTACGCGCGAGCCTACTCGGCCTGAAGCAGGCTGCCCAACGGGGCTTACGAGCTAACATGTACCGATGCACAAAGAGGTAGCATGTAGCCAATCTGCCAGCGACGGGCCTTAAGCTGCTGCCAGCTTGTCACTCCGTACAAATCGGACCGTGGCTCTCCCTGCCCAAACGGACCGCAAGATTATTGCCTTCAAGATTCTTTATTCAACTACCCACTAGAGACAAGCCAGTGCCCAAATTCCATCATTGCATAAGCCCCTTCAACTTGGAAAGTCACCTGAGCTTGGCAAATCCTCTTTCAGTGCCACGAATCTGCCCTGACTTCCACTATTCGCCAACCTGAAATCAACAATTCTAACCTTGTAAGAGGACCTTTTTCATGAGACCCGTGCTGATTGTCCGTACCTCCTTCTGCCTCCACACACCACCCCCCCACAAAGTTCAGTCCTGCATGCCAGGCTCCCACCTTAAAACACACATGCACCGAACGAAGCGAAGGGATGGAAACGATTCCGGGTGTTCCCGTTTGGGGATTTGCAAACAAAGGAAACCCTAGGGGATGGTTCAAAGGGTCATTTCATGTCTCATTCCCTGAGAACCAGCAAGTCCACGAATCCTCAAGGGAAATGAAAGGAAGCGTCCATTTCAAGCGTCACCGGTCTGACGTGTCTTGCCACGTCTCAGCCTCCACTTACTTGGTGATTTGGTTTGGTATGGAGTTTAGGGGGTGGCTCCTTGTTTTTGGGACAAGGGCTTCAATTCGCACTCCAAACCACCATCATAGAGGCTGAAAGGGATAAAAGGGGAGGGGGAAAAAAAACCAAATAAAGCCTTAAGGCTAAAGCCTAGTTGCTTGCCTCCCCCCCAACCCCCTACCCCACAATTATTTGGGCTCCCTCCCTACCCCCCCCCCTCCCCAGCCTCAAGCGAATGTCTGGTCTCAGCCAAGTAGCTTGGCCTGGCTGGCCACCTTCACCGTCACCGCCTCAGATCCGCGGATCTCAGCTCGAAGGAAACCCTTCTGGAACAGGGTTCTGGTCAAACCGTTCGGTGGATCACTCGATTTTTTTACCCCACGTCTGTGATACTTTCGGGGGTCTCCTCCTTTCTAAAAAGCGCCCAGTCTTTCCTCCTTTCTAAAAAAGCGCCTAGTCTTTCCTCCTTTCTAAAAAGCGCCCAGTCTTTGGGAAGCCCTCTGTTCTGGAAACCTTACGCCGAACTTCCGACTTGCGCACGGCTGCTGGCTGCTTGCAGGCTAGGCCTTCAGCGAGCATCCCCCACCAAGTTCACAAGTGGCATGTGAAGCCCCTCTCAACACCGCTCTCAAATCCATCACCCGGAATGCCCTGAAAACCCATCAGGAGCATGGCATGATATGAGCAGGGCCGTTGACTGAACCGAGTGGCCATAGTGCCCACGCCGCCTGGCCCAAGCAATCTCCCATGAAGCCAGAACAAAACTTCGCTGGGCTTGGGATTACGTCAAGACAAACACTTTCAAGCCAAAAGGGTCCCTGGTTCTCACATTCCACATGTCTCGAGTTGTTTCCCCCCGTCCCCCTCCCATGATCCCCCCAGTCCCGATGGCAAGGTTAGTTGCAAACTACGATGGTTTTTGCAAAAGGAAGCGACTGCGAGTGATTCGAAGGACGACCCAACACACGTCTCATACTTCTTGACTGGCTGGTTGCTTTGAAATGGGACAAGGCCGGCATCAACACGAAATCCACCAGAACCGAGTGCCCCAGACATGTTGAGACCGCGTCTAACGAACCCATCTCTGGGCACACGCCTCAGGCCCAACCAAATGTGTTGGGTATCTGCTTCTGGCGGCCAGGTCTGTCTCTCTGCACATGAAACGATAGACCCAAGGATGCGATGCACATGAAACGTCCCCCGACATCTCGAAAGCCAGGCGAATGAAAAACCGGCAGGCAAGGAAGCACAAAAGCCTCGTGCTTCCTAGGCAGCTCTGGCATCCTCGCCCGTTCTACACCCGAACTAAAACCCTCCCTCAAGGCGTTTGCCGCCTAAGAAGAGCTGCGGGATGGGAGCGGTGAGCCGGGCGGGGTGCAGTTTTGCACCCCTTCGGATTCTTGTACCTCTGAGCCAAAGGGAAGCCGTCCATAGGTTTTTAGAGCTCAAGACCCACAATCGCACTGGGAGTCTGGAAGGATGTCTTGGAAACTGAATGCTGAGCGTTGACCCTGGTCAACATGTTGATGGCAGCATGGCCAAACTCGGAATCTGGGACACCGAGCGGGCCAGCGGCTTGTGGGCAAAGGAGCACTCGGCAACCCCAAACCCTCCAACTTAAGATTGACACTGACCTGGCCTTGGCATCCCATTGGTCTGCAAATTCTAGAACTCCAAAACCCCAAAAAGGTCCCACGTGAGGGGTATTAAGCTCGTGCTAGCCCCAAGCTGACGCTCGCTTTTCAGGGAGCATTTCAGGCGGTCTGCGACCTCAGTGCCGGATCCACCGCCGGGTTTCCCGGCGACGGCTGGATATGTGGACACATCGCGTGCGGAAAGAAGAAGACGCGAAGCGCGAATTGAGCGGCCAGACTGGTACCGGTACGCGGCTACACGCCTGGTCCGGAGTTTGTATCTTCAGCAATGGAAGTACATAAATGAAGCTAAGGCATGGGTATAGGGAGCGCTATCCTCATTCAAATGAATGAGGGTGAGCTGGCTGCTGCCGAATGCCGTGCACAAGTCGACAGTGGGCTCTGAGCCCAACTTGGGCACCTTCTTTTTCAAGAGGGCTTGGGTGAAAGCCCACCGGGGCTCACAAGATCAGTGCCGTCGACATGTGTACAGAAAAGGTCCTTCCGGTTTCCTCGAAAGCCTCCTACTCTTAATTTGGCGGAGCCTTGGAAGGGTCGCACGGATTGCAGTCAGCCCTGTTGAGGCCGGGCGAAGCTTTACCTGTCGAACCCGAGTAAACTCGGAGCTGCAGGCAAAAACAACTAAGCCTCAGGTGTGCATCTTGGAAATAAACAACTCCAAATGTCGAAACGGCCAAAAAAAGTAGCGTAAACCAAAACAACACAGTTGTCGAAATTTGCCAGCTGGCTCTTGCGTTCAGTTCAAGGGACAAATCCAAAACGTCAGGAGGCATGTGTCAACCTAGTCGTTCTGGACATAAGCCCAGAATGTTAATATGTGTAGAATGATGTGGTGAAGAAAGAAACGGACCCTTCCAAGGCTTGTGGAGCAAGCAATGCAAACAATTCAATGCACCATCAGTGCACTGGCCGTCTCAATTTGTCAGCAGCGTGCGGCGACCAATTTCCGCCTGGCAGTCAGTCAAGTTCCCTTGACATTTTGGGTCGGGGTTCTTGGCTTGTTGGTGTAGCATGGACCGCTTTCTTGTGTCAAGGGGCGTGCCTTGTGATGCTTTGGGCTGGTCGAGCTCAGCTCGCAGGCTTGCCCATTCTGAAAGCAAAAGGATCAGGACACCCAAATTGAAACCAACCATTAGTCAGTCCCCGCTTTCGACAACACCCACACAACACAGATGCGCAGACCCACACAGCCGAATAGAGAGGTGCTGCAAAGCCCCGGGACATATTCACGTTGACCGCGCCTTTCTGTGCCTTTCTGGCCCACGTCGTGGAACAAGACATGAGCTCTGGGCCATGCCCAAGACTCGGGCATGTGGAATGCATATTTCATCCAACTGACTCAAGAACGTTGACCTGCGCCGGCAACGATTTGCCTAGAAACCTCAAGCTGTCTTGTCAATATCGCCTCGGACTCCTGATTCAAACTCGCCATGCCAGCCGAAAAACCGAGGCCAAAACTGACTGAGATTCAGTTTAACTCCACTCAAACATGCGAGGAGAGCACGTGACACCACTCCCACCTGCGTGTCGCACGCACGTGTTTCACCACCCTCGGCGCCCGCGCCTCACGGCTGGCCTCTCGGCAAGCGTTGGGCACCTCCGAGCCTCGGCGGACTTTGGCTCGATGCTCGAAACGCCCGGGCATGGTCCATCTGGTGACCCCTGGGAAAAAATGAGAACATATGGCTGTGGGTCAAAATACGGCAACCCCAACATTGAACCCTAAACGGAACCAAGGACTAAAATCTGCGATTCCCTAGTGGGTTCATTTTGACCCATACCCATATGTCCAGTAGTGATGAGCTCCCTTGAAAAACCAACAAGGGAAAGTCAAAAAGTTGGTTCTTAAGCACATGGAAGGGCATGATCAATGGTTGTGTGGCTGCGCCAGCAAAAGGTTCAACTTGTTGCTGGGGGCGGGGCAAACACGCATCTTCCCTCAACAAAGAGCTGAGCATCGAGGGAGGTCCCAAAGAAATATCTCCCAAAAGACTGTTGAAAGAGTGGCCCAATCTCTATGGGCATCCAAGGCGGTGCCGAAATCATACTCGTCAGTTTTCATTCTGCGCGGCTGATTCAAATGGAGCAACGGCTCGCTAAAAGCTGGCTTCCCATTCACGTGTGTTGCACCCTCAGATGGCTGGCTCCCCGTGGTTGAGGGTGAACTCATTGAACATGCGCGCGCCGACTTCAATAGAAGGGGCGTCCAAGCTCTTCCAACCTGTCACCCAGGCAACCCTGTGGGCGAAATGAAGCAAGCGGCCGCTCTTGTGTTTATTGCGTCTGCATGTAAGCATAGGACAGCACGTAGGGTGCAAGGCTGCACGCAAGCCGCGATTTACCGTTCTCGCGTATGCAAGCTCTCATGGTAGATTACTCTGTGGCACAAAAGGCCTCATGCGGAGTGATGCGAGCAGCGCCCAAAACCCATTGACCTTTGGTTCCATGGATACAAGGCTCAAATGTGCCATTGCTGCCTAAAGAAACAGGTAGATCAATCTACCTACTAAAACGGGCACGGTGTGTGTGTGTATGTGTGCTTAGGTGTTAAGGTCCGAGGGCTCAGGTGAAGTATAGTTTGGCCATGTGAAAGTTGATAAGCAGCTTGTAGGTTTTCGAGCTGAAGCATTTCTCGTGCGTCAAGGCGCGCTCCCGCGGTCGTAAAAAGCTTTGCACTTCGGGGCTGCCACTGACGGCTTTCCAAGCTTCGGCATAAGCTCATGTTGGTCCATCCTCTCCCAAATGTGAAAGTCACAGACACAAGGCCGCGGCTCCAGCAAAGAAATCCGTGCCGTTCGCAACGCTGTCTCAAACTTCCCAAAGGATTCAACTCGAGCTTTCTTGCCGCAATCGCCTAGAAGTCTTATCATGGACTCGCGTACATCGTAGATCTCGTTGAGAAGCTGGTCGTTGAGGTACGGTCAGCACCGTTCACTCAAAGGTACTTGAGACACTCGTCCTTCTTCGCCCTCAAGAGCAGTGCACTGAGCTTGTACTCCTGGTCTTTGCACTCGCTCATTCGAAACGAGGCGGCCAGACCGCCAATGTTCCAGTCTCCATAGCCATGGTGAAGCTGGATCATATGGAAGTTGCGACTAAAAATGAAGCCACTATCCTGACAAGCGGCCGCCCCCTTTCAACAAGTCGGCACCAAATGAACCATGCCCAAAATACCGATACATTCGTCTGCGATAACAAGTTGCTTTCGCCAAGGCTTACGCGCGGCACTTGCGCGTAGCAATACTTTTGCAAGCCGCCAAAGCAATAGCTTGCGTGAGTCCTTCACGCGCGAAGGCAGCGCTCAAAGTTGCAGTGAACGTAGTCGGAGTAGTACACGAAGTGCACTTTGGAAGCTCCAGCTTGCAAATGCTGTAATACAGAAGCATTGGGCTTCGAGTATGCTCCACGCGCGTAATGTGTGCATGTTTAGGTTACGCGGGCCTGTGTTGTTGCAAGGCCTGTGCTAAACATGAACAGAAGGGGTTTTAGCGCTGCTCAGATGTCGCCTTTGTCGGCCTCCAAAAAGGGCGTATCGAAGGCGATTCTGCCACATAAATGGACATGTGTCAAAATCGGGAATTGCCCTGGCCAAGGGGCGTTCCAACAGGTGGGTGATGTCGTAGCGCGTCCACTCGCGTAGTCTACCCTGGCAAGGCTCAAGCAATTTGTCTCTACCCAAACCAGCCATGTCCCTTGTAAAGCAACCCAAAACGGATTCTAACTCCAACGACACACCCACATCCTGTTTCAGAAGAGTCAGAACAGTACCCATCCAACTTTACCCCTTAAAACACATCCAGAGCAAATGGCCCCAGAATAACAAACCAAGGGTTCAACCTCAGATCCCTCAGCCTTTGCGCCATGTTCGATCAATACCATGCCGGATCTGCGAGCAGATCAGCTGCCTGGCAAAGCAGCCAGTAGCCGGTGGGGTGGAAAAACAGCTTGGTCGATGGGATGAAGGCTCACGGATTCCAAATTCCGTTTTTAATGTGTGAAGTTCCAGCGACAAGATTGGACAAATGGGCAGGTTTTGGAGAAAAGATCAAGCTTGAACATCATGGTTAGGACGAGGTCCTGGTTCTTGCAACAGTTACATACAAAGATGTCCCAAAGGCCTACCAAAGGCTAAGGTGGCCACATGGTCCCATCTATGTATGCGGAGGGATGAATGACATTCACCTTTTTGTCCATCTCAATGAAAAATGTCTGCTTCACGCCCAGCGGCCAGCGTCTGCGGTAGCTTCACGGTGTCAATGATTTGCACAAGCCTCGCAGCACGCGGAGTCTTGGCAATCCGGACCGAGCAATTCAGCGATTTCCAGTCAGCTTTCGAAGCAGACAAGGATGCCCCCATCTTTCAGCAATGGATGGATATTCATAGGGCAAAGGAATGACATCATCATGTCATGGGCTTGTCTCAAAAATGGGGCAACCCCCCGAACTGGGCGTTTCCCCCTGTCGAAACCACCGTCATATCCGTGTCGTCCATTTCATGGAACCAAATGTACACCCAAGTGGGCAATGCCCAAAAACCCACTGACATTTGGCTGTGGGTCAAAATAGGGTAATGCCCAAGATTGAACCCTGGTAAATGGAACCAAGGACTAAATCTGCGATAGTGGGTTCACTTTGACCCAAATGGGTTTGACCCATTTGGGTCAACCAAGATGACTACAAAGGTTTCTGTAGTTCTAACCTCCATTCTAGCATAGCCCCTCTATGGACTATTGTCTGAAAGCGCCGCAGCCTTTCAGCGGGGCGGGGGATCAGTTGCGCACACAGATTTGGATCAGTTGCGCACACAAAACCCCCTGAGTTCTGGCTCAGTTACGCACACAGATTTGGCTCAGTTGCGCACACAGAGCTCTAGATGCATGGAATTGGTGGCATCAGAAGGGGTGGGTGGGTGGCTTGGGTGGGTGGGTGGGGTGGGTGGGGTGGGCGGGTCCAGAAAGGAACGCACACAAGAGATGGGGTAGGTGGATGGAAGTGGTGGCATCACAAGAGATGGGGTAGGTGGATGGAATCAGAAGGGGTGGGTGGGGTGGGGTGGGGTGGGGTGGGGTGGGGTGGGGTGGGGTGGGGTGGGGTGGGGTGGGGTGGGGTGGGGTGGGGTGGGGTGGGGTGGGGTGGGGTGGGGTGGGGTGGGGTGGGGTGGGGTGGGGTGGGGTGGGGTGGGGTGGGGTGGGGTGGGGTGGGGTGGGGTGGGGTGGGGTGGGGTGGGGTGGGGTGGGGTGGGGTGGGGTGGGGTGGGGTGGGGTGGGGTGGGGTGGGGTGGGGTGGGGTGGGGTGGGGTGGGGGGGGGGGGGGGGGGGGGGGGGGTGGGGTGGGGGGTGGGGGGGGGGGGGGGGGGGGGGGGGGGGGGGGGGGGGGGGGGGGGGGGGGGGGGGGGGGGGGGGGGGGGGGGGGGGGGGGGGGGGGGGGGGGGGGGGGGGGGGGGGGGGGGGGGGGGGGGGTGGGGGGGGGTGGGGGGTGGGGGGGGGGGGGGGGGGGGGGGGGGGGGGGGGGGGGGGGGGGGGGGGGGGGGGGGGGGGGGGGGGGGGGGGGGGGGGGGGGGGGGGGGGGGGGGGGGGGGGGGGGGGGGGGGGGGGGGGGGGGGGGGGGGGGGGGGGTGGGGTGGGTGGGGTGGGGGGGGGGGGGGGGGGGGGGGGGGGGGGGGGGGGGGGGGGGGGGGGGGGGGGGGGGGGGGGGGGGGGGGGGGGGGGGGGGTCCAGAAAGGAACGCACACAAGAGATGGGGTAGGTGGATGGAAGTGGCGGCATCAGAAGGGCAAGAATGGGTTTGTAGCAATGGCTTACATGAGGGTCATACACACAAAACACTGGGTGAAATAGTGTTATACCATCCTAGCTTGCGGATAAAAAGATCTGGCTATATCAGCAGGACGAATCAGGTAAACCTTAAGTCAATGTAGCAATGGTTTACATGAGGTTCATACACAAAAGACACTTGGTGAAATAGTGTTATACCATCCTATCTTGCAGATAAAAAAGATCAGCCTGTATCAGCAGGACGAATCAGGTAAACCGCGAGTCAATGTCTTTATCCTCCACAAGACTTAAATTCGGTAGATGAGATAGGGGTTGTGGCGAAGGTTCCGAGGGACGCTCCGGGCCAGGAGTGCCAGGAGGGCATGTGCAGTAGACGCTCCGGGCCCAAGGTAAACAAGTCTGCGTGCACAACTGAGCCGGGCCTCGCGTGCACAACCGAGCCAGATTCTCGCGTGCACAACCGATGCACCACCCTTTCAGCGAGCGGCTTCGGAAGGCTGTGCCGTCGAATGCTCTCATCCAGGCTTTTGCTCCAGCCCAGCTCCGTGCTGGGGCCGTTGATGTCACTCCATTTCCTGATTGACTCTGCTTCGGCAAACACAAAGGGCAGCCACTTCCTGCTCATTAACTCTCTGCGAACTTTCGCAGCTCTGGCTTCAACAAGGCAGATCAACACGACAAATCTACATTGCTCTTGAATTTGAGTGGCCGCTGACCGACTTTCATCACACCTCTTTTCAGGAACACACGCGACCAAGAACCAAGAATCACCGCATCGGGGGGTTGGATGCAACAACTCACAAGCGTCGGTCGCCACTTGCTTTCTCCTTTCCGGACGGTGGACTTTGGGCCATGGCTACCTGTGCAGACATGGCTCACAATTGCACGCATCAGCTTGAAGACCTTGTTGCAAATCACATCCTCGTGCAAGGGGAGGCGATGCTTGGCGGAGAAAGCTTCACCTTGACAGGACGTCGCAGCTTCCGTTTCACAGACACAAATATATATATATATAGATATGTATGTATGTATGTATGGATGTATGTATGGATGTATGGATGTATGTATGTATGTATGTATGGATGGATGGATGGATGGATGGATGGATGGATGGATGGATGGATGGATGGATGGATGTGTGTATGTATGGATGTATGGATGTATGGATGTATGGATGTATGGATGTATGTATGTATGTATGGATGTATGGATGTATGTATGTATGGATGTATGGATGTATGGATGTATGTACGTACGTACGTACGTATGTACGTACGTACGTATGTATGTATGGATGTATGGATGTATGTATGTATGGACGGATGTATGTATGTATGGATGGATGGATGTATGGATGTATGGATGTATGGATGTATGGATGTATGAATGTATGTACGTACGTACGTGCGTGCGTAGGTAGGTAGGTAGGTAAGGTAGGTAGGTAGGTAGGGTAAGGTAAGATAAGGTAAGGTAAGGTAAGGTGAGGGTAGGGTAGGGTAGGGTAGGGTAGGGTAGGGTAGGTTAGGGTAGGGTAGGGTAAGATAAGATAAGGAAAGGTAAGGAAAGGAAAGGAAAGGAAAGGTAAGGTAAGGTAAGGTAAGGTAAGGTAAGGTAAGGTAAGGTAAGGTAAGGTAAGGTAAGGTAAGGTAAGGTAAGGTAGGTAAGGTAAGGTAAGGTAAGGTAAGGTAAGGTAAGGTAAGGTAAGGTAAGGTAAGGTAAGGTAAGGTAAGGTAAGGTAAGGTAAGGTAAGGTAAGGTAAGGTAAGGTAATAAGGTAAGGTAAGGTAAGGTAAGGTAAGGTAAGGTAAGGTAAGGTAAGGTAAGGTAAGGTAAGGTAAGGTAAGGTAAAAGGTAAGGTAAGGTAAGGTAAGGTAAGGTAAGGTAAGGTAAGGTAAGGTAAGGTAAGGTAAGGTAAGGTAAGGTAAGGTAAGGTAAGGTAAGGTAAGGTAAGGTTAAGGTAAGGTAAGGTAAGGTAAGGTAAGGTAAGGTAAGGTAAAGGTAAGGTAAGGTAAGGTAAGGTAAGGTAAGGTAAGGTAAGGTAAGGTAAGGTAAGGTAAGGTAAGGTAAGGTAAGGTAAGGTAAGGTAAGGTAAGGTAAGGTAAGGTAAGGTAAGGTAAGGTAAGGTAAGGTAAGGTAAGGTAAGGTAAGGTAGGTATGTATGTATGTATGTATGTATGTATGTATGTATGTATGTATGTATGTATGTATGTATGTATGTATGTATGTATGTATTATATATATAATATATTTATATATGTCGCGCAGCATGTGGATGATTCTCTCTACAAAGTGAACGCCTAGGACAAGAAATTGAATTCCCTCCAGCACCGACGGGTTCAATGAAGGCAATTCTGGCTTGCTGGAGTTGCCTCACAGCCAGTCAACAGGCAATCTGTCTGTCATTGTTTTGCTGCCAGTCTCTGCTTCATGCATGGCGTGCTCAAGCCATGAACCCAGCACCCAGAGCTGAGGACAAGTTTTGCACAAGTGTGAGGTGAGACAACCACCCGCAATTGATTCAAGCTCAAATCTCTTGTGGAACGGGTCAAACCACGACCAACCCTGGTTAGTTGTCAAAATGCTGCGCTGCTGAGGACACCGAATCAGAGGGCGATCCCTGAAGTCAGGATGTTTGCTCAGAGGAAGCTGTAGCCATAAGTTCGCAGGGTGACTCAACCATCTTCCTTGGCGGAATGGTGCCATGGAGGGTAAATGATTGGGGTTGGTAGATGGAATGGGGGGGGAAGACAGGTGCCATCCAAACCAACACGGAGAAGCGCGGCTCAGGCAAGGCACAGACCATGTGCGCTGTCTGCGGGAAGAGGAGCGCCACAGCTTGCCCATGCGCCTTGCCTGGGTCTGTTTGGTTCAAAGAAGCCGGAAAAAAGCATCCCCCTTTGCCCCATGGAAAGGGAGTTGACCAATGACTTGCTTCTTGTTCTTTACCTTTTTTTGGTGGGGGGCAACCTCTTTTGGAGGGTAGTTCCAAGGGCAAACCAAATGGAAACCACCGATTCCGGGTGGCCACCCGTGGGCCGTAAGAGAAGACTTGGAACACCTAGCCAGTAGATCGCTTGGATCGGAAGGAGACGGGCGATTAGAACCTGTGCTCTGTATACATATATCTGCAATGTTTACTACAATTCCAAAAGCTGAATTGAGAATCGGGTCCCCAAGTAAAAGATCTTTATCATGGCTTTCGCTCGTTATACCTCAAAAAAGTTAGGCTGGCTATTCCCACGCGGGTGCGCAGCTTCAGTAGAAATGGACCCTTTGCTAATTCTCAAAAAGAAAACCTTGGGATTTGCCGCAAGCCACGCTTTCTGGCGGGGTGTTCCACTCCCAGGACGCCTTGGGGGCCGTTTTTCACGACTGGCTTTCTCCTCTCCGAGGGGCTGTAGTGTCGGCTCCACTGCAGCAGCTGGCCCAAGCTGTCGAGAACGTCCTTGGATCGGCATGCCTCTCTCAAAATTGGGAAACCCCTTTGGATGGTAAAGGAAAGCCAAGAAGACTGCAACAACTTGTAAAAAAAGTGCGCGATTTAGAGACTCTGTCACGAGTGTGGTCTGGGTACTCTGTTTGGGTTTGTTGCCAAGCAAAGCCAAAACATGGCCATACCAAGTGACTAGAGCTGGCCACACCTTTGGGGTGTTTGAATCATTGGACAGCTTTTCCTCTACAAGTCCGGCTTGAGTGTCCATGAGCTTCATCCATGTTCAGAGTCTCTACTCGCTTCTTTCCCTGGAGGTTCGCCCATTTGAAGGGAAGTCCATGAAGAGAATGGAACAGGCGCGAACACTGGCCTTCTTGCAGCTCTCCAACTCCTAATGCGGGGCTAGGTGAAAGAACCAAAATCTGTGGCTTCCTTTTGCCTTTCAAACTACCCCTTTCAGGGATACTCTCAAAAAAGACACATATCTCGAATTGAGATGCTTCTGCCCCCCCCCTCCATTTGCGAAGGCACACCAACTCCCGCAAAATAGTCCGATCTAAAGGGATAACTCCTCATGAGAGTTACATATTCATAATGCACACATCGGTAGCATGGTATTGGGGGAAGTCCTGCAGAAAGCATGTGTTTTCCCCTAGATTTGACGAGAAATCAACAAGTGTGTCTGAAAGGTTGGCAAAACTCAGGCGACGAGTTCACAACTGGAACCACCCCGAAGAGACAACAAAACACTTGGCTATTCGCGAAATGGAAACCAACCATGTAATGGCTTCTCAAGGAACCAAACGGCGACGCCCTGAACTGCACCGTGAGCTAGCAGTTTGGCAGTGCGATCGGTGCATTGGCGCCAGAGTTTGGGAAGTACTTCAGCAGATCAATTTTGGGACATGTGGCGTCTTGCTTTACAAGCTCCTCCCGGAAAGCTAGCACTTTGAATGTGACCCATTTGCAGCGCTTCGTACATCTTGGGGCTTTTCATGTTTAATGCTGGGTTGGTGCCCATGCTTGTTTCTGCAGGTCGGTGTTCTCCAAGTCTAGCCCCAAACCACCTCTGGACTAGTCACAAAATATCATTCTCAAAGTTTCGGAAGAAGAATCCAGCAACCCCTCCCCCCCCCCAACATGGACACCTTCATCGTCAGGCAGTCTCTCGCTCAACAGCTCCCCCAATCACAAGCTGGCCGCTGCACCGGCCAGCCATGCCGGGATGGTGACCTGCGAAGCGGATTGGGAGGCAAGCAGGTCAACCTGCAAACGATTGAGGGTGTGCGCACGTGCGGAGCATGTGCTCAATGATGCAAATTGCATCTACCAGTGCGTGTCAAGCATACAAACAAGAGATGAGCCGTCTTGGGAAATGGCCCAACCTTGCAATTCGTGTCACGTGCGCACAAAGCAGCTGGGCTTAGCCACAATTGAGGGCTCAAAGTCATATGTGCGAACGTGCACAGCAAGGATGAAAAGGCTGGACAAATGACATGACGCCGTTAGAAAACAAACTGGAGGACAGCTTGGAACAACACGCAACTTCGCTTCAGCCCAATGAACTATATCAGTTAGATGCCACGTGTTCTAAGCAGGCATTGGGGACACTCCATGATTCCGTAATTCCAACTGCCTGTGGCTTGACAAGTATTGCTTCAGCTGTCCATAGATGGATGCTTCATGTCAAAGACTGCAGGAGGCGCGTTCTTCTCGGAGGCGAACGTCCCCAAGAGCGGTGCGAATCTGCAGAGTAGAATTTGCCATGTGCTCCAAACTGCCATGGAGTTCCATGGGGCAACTCCCTGAGGCTTTTGTCTTGAAATACTGGAATGATCCTGTGGATGGACGAAATCCTGCACCACCTAAGAAACCATGAGAAACCACTGTTTGTTGGTATTTACAGGGAATCAGACCATTCCAGGGCTTCTTGGGTGGTGCAGGATTTCGTCCATCCACAGTCTGATGTGGAAATATGCTTGCCCCACCTCATTCCGGTGCATCCTCGTCTTCCTCCCTTCTCCGTTGCATTCATGCATGTCAACTGATCGCACTTGTCCCAAAGCCAGGCATGGTTGAGGTGGTCCTGAAGGCATGTAAGGCTTCCCACAAAACCGCCCGTCAGTCGCTGACACAACTTGCTCAGGGAATGACCCCCGGCTGGGAATGGGATTCCCAGGGATTCCCTAGGAAGCCACCAGTGCATTGGGGGGTCCTTCCATTTCCCATCTGCATCTCTCGCATCCCCTTCCCTCGGCTCCCCGGCGCTCGAAAATTCCAGCCCGAGAAGGGCCGCCTGCAGACTTTGCAGCCTCGGCTTGGCCGGCGGAAAGGACCCGCGGTTCCTCCCGGCCAGAAGTGGTTTTTTTGGCCCAGTGGGTCCATTGGCCGACGACGACGCGGCTCACTGGAATACATGAGCCAGCCTATGCTCTTTTGATGTGCGGTATTTGTCCTGAGGATTTGGGGTCGAAGCTGCCAGCAATGGTCAATGCAGTTGTCGCAATTCTGATAAATGTATCAATCGGATGTCCGTTCAAAAGCTTAAGCCTTTAAATGCTCTTAAGCACTCTGAAATGTTATTCCCAATCACTTTCATAAACACATCAAGGTTCTTCCAGGTTCGTCCTAGACTGAAACCAGTGCAATCCATCTATTGGGGTCTGGCTCTCTTTGCTGAGCAGCTTTCACTGTGCTTGATTGCCCAGCAACTGTTTGACTTTCAGGGGTCAAAGATAAACCTACGTTTCTGCTCGTTCGCATCACTAGGCCAGCAACGCGTTGCAGGGCTTGTAGAGTCCGCCTGGGAGGTTCACAAATGTGGAAGCGGGTCAGAGGTCATTTGTGTGTGTGTGTGTCTTTTTGAGGGTACCTGTCTGGGAGTGGCATAGAAACCAAAGGGAACTCATCTGCTTCTTGGGAGGGTTACAGCAAACTGCTTCTGCTGCATCTATCAACCACCAGCAGCCCAGTGCCACGTGCAAATTGTCGCTGGTCATACATGGGTGCCATGTTCTAATAAACGCATCTGATTGGATAGAGACGGGAGATCAGCTTTTGGCATCAAGCACATGGTTCGTACCACCTTCATGGGTCCCTGGGTGGTTCGGGGCCCGGAAATCTCTGCATCTCTGAGCTCCTCGCGGGCCAAATCTGACTCCTCCAGGCTTACCTGAGAATCAAAGCCCACTCTGAGAGCTCCAGGTACACAGAAGGGCGGCCAGGTTTTGCTATGTCTGGCCTTTTCGACTATCCTTGATCCTATATAGAATAGAAATATACTAAAAGATGAAGCAGGACACAAACAAGAATAGCAGCAAAAAGGCGGCCAGTGGCCTATTTATGTCCCTCACTAACCTCCATCTACCTAGATGCAGGTTGTCATGGTGGCTCACCTCTAGCGATGTGAGGGCACCCTGTCTCAACGGAAAATCGCGGCATGGACACTCAGACAGGCATTGCGCCTGAAGTGGATGTTTGAAGTCTGTACTGGAGACACAGCTGAGAATCCAAGCGCAAGTTACCTGAGCTCATAAAGCCTGAGCACCTTTTTTTGGATACCTTGCACGTTTTGGTCCAAAGCTAGAACCGAAGAGACCGAGTCAAGTGCCAACTGCACGTCTCGGAGCCAAACACAAATTGCTATACTATGATTCAAGTGAGGGCCAACAAGCCCATCTTCCAAATCGTTGCTACAAAGAAGGCCTCAGAGCTGCATCGCCCCATTTCAGCTCAAACTGGGCAGTCGGGCATTGCCATGCTGAGCAGAAGCGAACTACTTTCAGGGCTTTCCGTTGGCCGTAAACCCATAAAACAGTGAACTCTGGCCCTCCTTAGCACTCACACAGGACTGAAAGTGCGCAAGGAACTCTGTGGGGCGCAAAGTTGCATCTTTGAAGAGGTAGAAAGCTGGGAAGTCAAACTTCTTTGTTACATCATGCAAACACACCCACGGATGACGGCACTTATTGACTTTTGGCTCCACCAAGGTGGATACAAACGACTATTGTGAGTGTATAACTTCTGCTATTATCTTTTAGCTGTATTCGAGAGGTCGTTAACGGCATTTTCCAGAAAACCTGGGCAAGTGGCGCGCGAGGGAAACGCGCGGGCGAGCGAGCAGGTGAACGTACGAGTGTGCGAGCGCACGCGCGAGTAGACGGACGAGTGGACGGACGAGTGCGCGGTTGGACGGACGGACGGACGGACGCACGCACGGACTCGCGCGCGCGCACGCACGCACGCACGCACCCGTCCGTACAGAAATAAGGGCAGAAACAAGACCATTTTATGGTCTTAAAAAAGGTCTTATTTCTGTACGGAAGGGTGCGCGCGTGCGTGCGCGCGTGCGCGCGTGCGTGCGTGCGTGCGTGCGCGCGCGCGCGCGTGCGCGTGTGTGCGTCCGTCCGTCCGTCCGTCCATCCGTCCGTCCGTCCGTCCGTCCGTCCATCCGCCCACTCGTCCGTCCACTCGTTCTTAAATTTAGCTAAATTATCTTTGATAAAACAATTGCAGAACCTGCTCTTGACTTCGCTGCTGGAGGCCCGGGAGCGCCTGCTCATGGGATGAACCCCGCCGGAGCTTCCATCGTTCTCTTCATTTCAGAACGGCTTCGAACCACCGTGCTAGCCAATGAAATCCACCGGTGTGAACAGCACCTGGAGTTGATCACGTTCCCCAAAAATCAACCGATCGGCATTCACGTGCCGGTGGTTGCCAGTGAGGCCCCCGCCAACACTGACTTGTAGATCCCGATGGCCTGGCGTGACCACTGGGCTCGCGAGAGATGCTCACGGCGCCAACCTAGACCCCCCAAAAAGGCGCCACCGCAGAGCCGGGAACCCTCACAGTGCGCTTGGACTGGCAACTTGAGCCCGCCTTAGGCTGTGACTGGCCTTGCCCAGCTCTAGTTCTGGGTCTTGGGGCATGCACCTCTTGGAAACCAGCTCACGCATTTCGGCGCGAAGCCAGCCAAAAGACTCGATCCAGCCCAGCTACTGGTGGCAGGCATCGCGAAGCGATTACCATGAAACCCCATCCTTCGCCTACTGCCTGCACCCCGGAAGGGTTCATGTTTTCTCCCAGGTCCGACGCGTCATTTTTTTGGCCTTTTTTTGGACCCTTCCTCGCGCCAAACCTAGGAAGAAAAGAAAGTCGGGCCCCTGGACCCAACCCTTCCAAGCTTCAGCTCACAGCCCCTCTTCGCCTCCAGCAGCACATCCGAGGACTGGACCAGGTGCTCCTGCCGCGCTTGCTCGAGCGACTCTCGTGCTCTGTTGACGGGCATAGCGCAGGACAACCTTTTCAGTTAGGACAAGCTTGGCCTACCTCCAAAGTGACACATGTTCCAAGGCAGGCTACAGAGGACCCTGCGATAGTGAGGATTCCCGAATGGGAGCGGCCCCAAAACAATCCCTCAAACCCATATGCTGCGCCCTTTCCGTCTTTGGCTTGTGGCCAACAGCGACGTTTGGTTCAAGCTAGCTCACTGGACTTCCGCGTGCGGGTTTTCCGTGTCGCCAAATGGTGGGTTTCCTTTAGTGGTACTTTCCTTGACCGCCAAAATCGGGGACGGGGGGGGGCCGACGTGGCGCTCTCATCGCCGATGCCCTCTCCCAACTCATAATGTTTTTTATTGGGGTTCTTATTTGTCTGTTGTGGTAAGGGCAGCGGATATCTCCCAACCACCCGCAAACAAAACTCGACACAGTTTGCAAAACTCGCGCCTTGATGTCGCTCGGCGAGATCTGTGAAGCCTGAGAGTCGACCAACTGCACACGGAAAAACAGGTTCAGGATCGAATTTCGAAGAGTAAGGCCTAACGACTCTTCCAAGTGGTTGGTGTGGCCCTTCCTTTGCAAACATTCCTCAAGTCAAGACCCAAACTATTTGTCCTGCTCGCCACATCCAAGTTAGCTGAGGCACATCGGCACCACGCGTGTCCTCAAATGGCCGGCTATGGCACTGCACACAAGATCCAGCTACCTAAAAATGTACCTGGACCTGTGCTGACCCTCTAAGTCCATCCTCGTTATAAGGTGCTTGGACCCTCTCGGGCTTTCTGCTTTTCCAAGGCTCCCAGGAGAGCACCTCAGATGTCACGTCCTATCTGTGGGAAGGTCTCCCAGTCTGCAAGCTCAAAACTGAAAGCTACCTGCTGCTTCAAACACCCAGCGCGGGCGGGGTCGGGAAATGTTCAGGCACCTCAAGGTACTCCTGCCTTTGTCAGCCTCTCTTCGCTCCCCGGTGGATGATCCAGCTCAGGAGGATTCCTTTGATTAGTTTACCATTGTCAAAGTGAGCACCCGAGCGGTAGGTTTGACTGAAATGAACCCCGAGAAACCATCAACCAAAAACCATCAACTGGCCACCCCCTAGAAACCATCCACCGGCCCCAGCCCGTCAAGTCGCGAAGGCCAGAATCCGGAGGGCGTAGCGCATCTCCTCCGCTTGCCAGTCCTGGAGAACTCCGGAACTCCGGTGCGCCCAAGACAGCCAGAACTGAACCAGCAACGTGCCAAACGTGCGGAAGGATGTAGAAACACCGAGGTCGGCCCATGATAGCTGCAGTCTGGCGAATTGCAACTCGTGGTCTCTTGGTCATTCAGCTTATGGTGACCTCCAAGAAGCGGAGAATCGATGGGGCCTGGCCGAGGAAGTAGCTCTTGGCGTCAAGCTTTGGCGCCTTCACGTGAAATCTCACGACCTCGCCAAACAGCGCGCCTCTCTTCTTGTGTCTAGTAATTGACATGGCCATGGGTCAAAAGCAGTGAACATCCCAATCCCCACTCAAATACACTAAAATGGGTGGTGCACCTACCCCCATTGGTTTTGACCCACAGCCACATGCCAGTGGCACTCCGGCCACTTACGGCTTTCCCTCGGCCCCCCGACCACTTACGGCTTTCCAGTTTGCGGGGAACTTATTTGCACCGGCGGAGCCTAAAAGACAAAGGCCTCCAAAGAAAATATCCTGAGGTTTCAGATAGTTCCTGCAACATGGTGACATGGAGCCGGCAATTTAGGGGTGGGACCCCACAAATGTCTGGCTCCTTTTGGTTTCCCCCCCACACCAAAACAGGGGACCCTCCCCACAAACCCGAAAGGGCGAACTCACTCCACCGAGTTGGGTCAAATGGGTACACTCCCACCAACTACCATGGAACCTGACACGGGCGTCCCGCAAGACCGTTTTCCTTGTAAGGGGAGTTTATTGGTGGGAGGGTACCCAAATCCTGTACCCCTGGTGAACATCAAAATTGGTGGCAAATGGATGTTCATCCACCCCAAAATGGCTCGCCATAGGTTATGCCCCATGGCCAAATGGCTGTGGCATAATAAAAAAAAAGTGGGATCAAAATGGTAAATGGAACCAAAGACTAAAACCCGCGTAACCCCCAGCTCTTTAATTTTGAGCCATACCCAAACGGCCATGGTTCAAAACCAATGGACCCATTTTGGGGGATTCGGTGCACCCATTCTAGAACCTATTTGAGTGGTTGCATTGAAATGGGTTCACTGGGGGGTCACCGGGCTTCTGCCCCATGGCCAAATGGCTAGCCCATGCTACCCCCGAGCCTGAAGGAGCAGCCGGCTGAAGTCCAGGAGCACCTGCAGGTCCTGAAGTCCAGTCCGTGGCCGTGTCAACTTCTTTGAGGCTGCCCGATTTGGGGGGCCGGTTTTAGAGGGAACACCCAAAGGAAGACCACGACTTCGGGTTTTTCTTCCTCTTTTTTTTTGGGGGGGACCAAATCCCCAGAAATGCCTTCTGCAAGCATCCGCATTCTCTTTACTGAAAGCCCCGCCATTTCCCCCCAAAGCGCTCAAAACCTGGCCTTAGCCGTTGGAAAACCAACACACCCGGCGCATTGTCGAACTAAGAGCGGCGCCACGCCATGCTTGGCCAGGGCAATGCCTCAAAGACCGGGCGAGTTTTTGAACGACCGGCGCCGGCTCAAGGCCGCTTAAGCCGTGCAACACATTGACAGCTTCCTCTGGCGTGTTTGGGAGTGCCACCCATCTGATGTTGATGTTGGTGGATTGACTATGTGCAGCCGCCACATGCAAACGCATTCGCCAGCCCGTGAGAAGCACGCAACTTGGCAAACAAACAGGCCAAAATGTCTGCGTGCACCCATGTTTAAATAAAGGACAAAACACATTGACCGGTATGAAGGTGTGAGCATGCTCACCAGCACACGCCAGCCAACTCATGAAAAGCACGTTCACTGATTGTTCGCTCACAATGAACACCAGGCAAAGCAAACAGTATGCACAGCATCCTCACATGTATGTACCACTGCTAAGCACTTGGTTGGACGCCTGCCAACTACCCACTGCCCACGCGTGCGGCTTACAGAAAAAATGATCGACGCACACGCCAATCCAAAGTCAGTGCAGCGTGAAAACCAGTAGAAAACAGGAGACACCGCTAAGCTGTGAATACAAACCAGCACCACCAATGCTAGGGGGCATAGGTAAACCCTGCAAAGGGCTGAGGGTGGGTTGGGGCATGCTTGAAAAAGTATGCTGGCCAGCGATTTGTTTAAGTGCTTTCGAAAATCATGGAACGCCAACCAGAAGGTGGGTGTCCAGTTGGATTGCCCCTTTAACACCGTCCAAAAGGCGGGCCCCACATCTTGCAACCCCCCCAACCTCATGTTTACGCGATGAGCATTGCACGCGTTAATGGAGGCAGCAAATTCATGGACCAAGGAGGCGCAATATGCATGCTATGCCAAAATCGAAATGTTGTCCTAACATAAAAGCCGTGCCCAAAATAAATATGGTTGCCCCACCAGGTTTGAGCCGATTGCAAAGAGCCTGAGATTGTGAATGTACGCCCAGCCCTCTTGGTGAGTGGAGTTAGTGCTGTGCTCAGCCAGCTGCTTTCGTTGGGCAAAGATCTGGTGATGCCGTCAATCCGCCTCAGAGTGGAAGCTCCATGCTCTTCACAGATCTGCACGAACTACTGCATGGGTTTGCCTCGAAACAGGCACCCCCAAACTGGTTGCACCAACGGCATGTTCTGTTGGAGGAATCCCAAAGCAGGGGAAATCTCCATGAGTGAGCTCGCTTTAGCCCGAATCGGTGTGCAGACCAATACTCGAATTGCCACCAAGTAGCTTGAGCACGTGAAACTGGTAGGGCTTGCCCTTTTGCTGGGGTCCTCACAGGCAAAGCAAAAGCAAACAACAACCTTGCCAAAGCCAGTGCAACGCCTTTGGACCACTTTTGTTGATCCCGGGTCATGTTCCGCATCGAAAGGGTTAAGAGCAAATTGGGCAGATAGGCCAGGTTGGCAGCAAATGGATCGTGGCAACGAGAGACACTGATTTGCCCATGTTCTCGCCTAGTCCATTTTAGTGGCGGCTTGCCAGCTCACGTAGCTCCATTCGAGCGGTATTCGGAGCCAGTCTTGCCAGCCAATGCTTCCCAAGATGAATCGTGGATTTTTGTCCAAAGTCCAGGAGAGTCCACTGTCAATATTAAATTACCACCTCAATACAAATCTCATCCGGACCATGGTGGCATGTGCGGTCAAAAAAGCGACCAACGTCCTTTGTGGTTGTCCCCCATATGCCTTCCAAATTCACCATACATTCCATGGACGCTGACAATTGCAGGGTTTTTCAAGACTTCCCTCCCACCAATTAACGGAATCGATCCTGGTTTGGGCCATTTTCCTTTTGAAGGGACCATTTCCCTGTCAGGTTGCATGTGAAAAGGCTGGGAGGGTACTATCCTTTCGGGAACCTCCCAGTCTTCGGCCTGCCAGCACAGCTCTGCACCAGCGGCTATACTCCTAGCGCTCCCAAGCTTTTGCTTGGCAAAAGGGAAAGAAGAAAAACGAAACCCAAGACCAAAATCGCGAAAAACAATGCGAAAAAAGAGGTGTCAATAGTTCTGGGGACAGGAAAACGGCATTCCGAAACTTGAAGACTCCATGATTTCAGGGTCCTTCCCACATACACCAATGGACATACAGCAAATCAGTAGTGGGTATACAGAAGTTGTACAGGGGGCCATCTGGAAGCAATCCCTATATGGATTGTAGCGTCTTCAAGTTGGTACAATGCAAGTGGGGCCTTAGATGGAAGTGCCGGGCCACATGTCATGCTTTCAGACCACTAGCTTCAACAGGACCTTCCCTGTTCGCTTCCTGGTACGGGCATCGCAGAATCCGGAGCTTTTTTGAATTGGGGAGAATCCCTTCCGTGTGTTGTGTTTTAAACCGCCATATGATGTACACCCTCGCGTGGGTCGACCGGTTTCGAAGCCTCGATGGACTTGCCCATGCGGGGTCAGCAAAAGCAACGAAGCTGGCCCTACGGTCCTGGTGTTCGCATACATCAATCATATGTCGCAGAAGCACGATAATCTTTGAACTGGGGAGAATTCCTTGCGTGCTTTTGTTTGTTTGTGTTTTTTTTCTGAACTGTATGAGTTTCAAAGCCTCGATGACTTGCGCATGCGGAGTCAGCCTAAGAATTTAGTGTCTTGAACTCTCTGTTGGACCACGAAAACCATTCTGGTCAAAAATATCAGTCCAGGAGCCAGGAAAAAGCAGAGCGCAGCCAGAACCAAGCAGTCGGACTCAAAAAAAATTGACCTGTGGGCTGCGCATGTTGCGTCCTGCATGAGCGCACTGAGGCCCATGGTGTCAAGCTCTTGCGTGCTGGCCTCAGGGGTCACGCACGAATTTGTAAAGACAACCAAAAGATCATGGAGGGTTACCCTTCTACTAGGTCCGCCAGTGGAGAGGCTAGAATAAGGGTACCCTTTTTTCTGTAGTCTATTTTTGTAGGGGAACCCTCCCCCAAAAAAGGTGAGAAAGGGCACCTGGGGGACCTAGTCTACCAATTCGCATGGAACCTGACAGGGCCTGGAAGACCCTTTTCCTCTCAAAGGGGCCATTTCTCCGTCAGAACTTCAAGAATCAACAGAACACTGAGTGTTTTGGGAACTGACCGGCGCAAAATGTAGGGGTACGGGTCAACGTGTGCATTGTTCCCCGCATGCTTCAGCCGGCCCAACACCGAGCAAAGGATTTTCTGGTTTCGGAATATGTAAAAAGCTGCCCTCGTATGGCACCCAAATTCACCGACTGTGAAAAACGAAGCAGCTGGTTTCGATTTTCTGAGCGCCCGTTTCGGACGCGCGAACGCCGGGCTCCTGTTCAACAGTCCTTCGAGCTTGAGAGGCCTCTGGTAAGACGTGGACAAGGAACTGTGGCCCTTTGATCCGCAAACCAGCCTTGCCGACGTGTTGAGGTTCTGTATCAACACGTGGCTAGCCCTCACAGCCAGCCCGGTGAACTGGTACCAATCTCTGCTATAAGAGTACACGTTCAGGCAAGCAGCCCATGCAACATGATTCATGCTCTCAGGTGAAGGTGCCCTTTTTCGAGGGTGCACCTTTCTGGGCTTGCTCCGAAAAAATGTCAACCCGCCCATGGCCACTTTTCCGCCCATGTCCCGCCCCGCACCTCTGTGGGCCACCTGACGGAAGCCGAGAAGCCGAGAAGCCGAGCCCCGGCTGCTGGGCTCCCCTCGAGCTCAAACCAAGCCCCAAGGTCAGCAGTGAGACCTCTGGCAGAACCCAGCTATGTTTTGACAGGCTTAAAAAGCCCAAGCCCGACATCAAAAAAACAAAACACGAACGCAGCTCCGGCAAATGAACAGCGAGCGATCGGCGAAAGTTGACACACCAGAGAGGGCTTCAAAGGTCTATGGGCAGTTCGCGTCGAGTGAAGCGATATTCATGGTGCGAGTCATGGTTTACGGAGGCTTGGGAATCTTGCACGCCGCGACGGCCGCGACAGTGGGTCTGAAACTGTCGCGATGGATCAAATCCAGGTGATCTTGTCATGCGTGGAATCGCAGGACATGGGCTTCTTGCCAGCACGGAACCAAAGATTTCTGACCAACCCTACACCTTGTTTCCACCAATGAAAAACCACCTGGCCCGAGGGCCACGCCACTCCAGCTGCTGGTAGGGCTCGTCCTTCCCTGTCTTGAAATGGTGCGATGCCTAACGGGGCAAAGGTGCAAATCCCTCGGATGGACCGGATGGATTTCTGCTGAGGCCATCCTCAGATCCCCTGCTAGAAGTGTGTCACTGTTTGTAGGTTCCAGGGAAACCCACAAACCACTAAAGCCCTAAAAAGCCGAGCAAACCTAAGGGGATGGCTGTGGGAACCACCAAGTTCTGTTGAGGCGACTCTTTTCGGGGCTGTTGGGAAGCCACGGGAAACCGCGCGTTGGTGTTTTGGTCCCCTCTTGAGACAAACCAATCTGCGCCCGACAGCCAAGACCCAAGAGAGGTCACGACCTCCGGTCCAAAGCATTAAGGGTATCCTGGAGAAAACACCCTCAGCATGACTCATAGCATGTTTGCGCCAGTCAGACCGGCAAAAGCTGCTCAACCAAATCCCAGTTTTACGCCCGTCTTTCTCTTTGCAAAAAAATCCCACCCTCAGAGTTTTTCCAGGAACCACAAACGCCTCAACCCCAAAGAAGAACTGACCCTCGGCCTGTGGTCCCTGGAAGACCATGCGACCCATGCTTCCAGGCGGCCAGGGTGAATTTGCCAAAGAGGCTGTCCTCGTCTGCCGCGTGCGTTTCGTAGCTGCGCACAAAGCTCATGACCTGGGATCCCGGAGAGTTTGAGTGTCTATAGTCTATACGTGTGTGTATGCGCGTATGTGTGCGTGCGTGCAAGCGCGTGAAATTAACAAACTTGAGCGCGTGAGTGCGCGCGCGCACGTGCGCGTGCGCCTGCACGTGGGTGTGGGCCACGGCGTGCGTGCGCGCGCGCGTGCGCGTGCGCCTGCACGTGCGCGTGGGCGTGCGCGGCGCGCGCGTGCGCGTGCGCGCGCGCGTGCGCCTGCACGTGGGTGTGGGCGTGCGCGTGCGCGTGCGCGTGCGCGTGCGCGTGCGCCTGCCCGGCGCGTGCGCGCGCGCCGCGTGCGCGAGTGTGCGCGCGTGCGCGTGCGCGTGCGTGCGCGCGGCGCGCCCGGCGCGTGCGCCTGCACGTGCGCGTGGCGTGCGTGTGCGCGTGCGAGTGCGCGGCGCGCGCGCGCGCCCTGCACGTGGGGTGTGCGCGTGCGCGTGCGCGTGCGCGTGCGCGTGCGCGGCGCGCGCGCGCGCGGCGTGCGTGCGCGTGCGTGCGCGTGGGTGTGCGGCGTGCGCGTGCGCGTGCGCGTGCGCCGTGCGCCGCGCGTGGGTGTGGGCGTGGGCGCGGCGCGGGCGTGCGCCTGCACGTGTGCGGCGTGCAGCGCGTGCGCGTGCGCGTGCGCGTGCGCGGTGCGCGTGCGCGTGCGCATGCACGTGGGTGTGGGCGTGCGCGTGCGCTGGCGCGTGCGCGCGCGTGCGCGTGGCGGCGTGCGGATGTGGCGTGCGCGTGCGCGTGCGCGTGCGCGTGCGCGTGGGCGTGGGCGTGGCGCGTGCGCGCTCGTGCGCGTGCGTGCGCGTGCGTGGCGTGGGCGTGGGCGTGGGCGTGCGTGCGGCGTGGCGATGCGCGCGCGACCGTGCGCGCGCGCGGCGCGGCGCGTGCGCGTGGCGCACGTGCGCGTGCGCGTGCGCGTGGGTTGGGGCGTCGGCGTGGGCGGCGGTGCGCGTGCGCCTGCGCGTGCGCGTGCGCGTGTGGCGTGGCGCCTGCGTGTGGGCGTGCGCGTGCGCGTGCGTGCGTGCGCGTGCGCGCGGCGCGTGCGCGCGCGCCTGGCGCGTGGGCGTGGGCGTGGGCGTGTGCGTTAGTGTGCGCGCGCACGTGCTTACGCACGTCGCTTGCGCGTGCGCGTGCGCGTGCGCGTGCGCGTGCGCGTGCGCGTGCGCGCGTGTGCGGTGCGTGCGCGTGGGCGCATGGGCGGCGCGTGCGCGCGTGTGGCGTGGGCGTGCGCGCGCGCGCCGTGCGCGTGCGCGTGCGGCGTGGGCGTGGGCGTGTGCGTGTGCGTGAGCGTGCGCGTGCGCGTGTGTGCTTACGCACGTGCGCGTGCGCGTGCGCGTGCACGTGCGCGTGCGCGTACGCGCGCGCGCGCGTGGGCGTGGGCGTGGGAGTGCGCGTGCGCACGCACGTGCGCGTGCGCGTGCGCATGGGCGTGGGCGTGGGGCGTGTGCGTGTGCGTGAGCGTGCGTGTGCGTGTGCTTACGCACGTGCGCGTGCGCGTGCGCGTGCGCGTGCGCGTGAGCGTGCGCGTGCGCGTGCGCGTGCGCATGCGCGTGCGCGTGCGCGTGCGCGTACACGGGCGCGTGCATGTGCGCCTGCGCGTGCGCGTGCGCGTGCGCGTGGGCGTGGGCGTGGGTATTGGTGTGGGCCTGGGAGTGGGCGTGGGCGTGGGCGTGCACGCTTGCGTCTGCGTGCGCGTGTGCGTCTGCGAACGCGTGCGCGTGCGCGTGCGCGTGGCGCGTGCGCGTGGCGCGTGGCGCGTGGCGCGTGGCGCGTGGCGCGTGGCGCGTGGCGCGTGGCGCCGCGTGGCGCGAGTGGCGCGTGGCGCGTGGCGCGTGCGCGTGCGCGTGCGCGTGCGCGTGCGCGTGGGCGTGGGCGTGGGCGTGGGCGTGGGCGTGGGCGTGGGCGTGGGCGTGTGGGTGTGGGTGTGGGTGTGGGTGTGGGTGTGGGTGTGTGTTTGTGTGTGTGTGTGTGCGCTTGTGCGTACGCGTGTGCGTGCGCTGTGCGTGTGCGTGTGCGTGTGCGTGCTCGTGCGTGTGCGCGTGCGTGTGCGCGTGCTGTGCGTGCGCATGCTGTGCGTGCGCACGTGCGTGCGCGTGCGCGTGCGCGTGCGCGTGCGCGTGCGCGTGCGCGTGCGCGTGCGCGTGTGCGTGTGCGTGTGCGTGTGCGTGTGCGTGCGCGTGCGCGTGCGCGTGCGCGTGCGCGTGCGCGAGTGCGGGTGCGGGTGCGGCTGCGGCTGCGGCTGCGGGCGTGCGTGCGTGCGTGCGTGCGGCGTGGGTGGGTGGGTGGCTGGCTGTGTGTGTGTGTATGCGTGTGTGTGTGTATGTGCAAGCGTGTTGTTTGCATATGCGCAATGTACATCCAATAAGTGGTCACTCCAAGGAGCTGTACAGTAACAACACATATCACTGGCACATCATGAATATACCTGGATACAAAAAAGAGCACGTATACAAATCCTCTGCATTGGAGGTAAGCTGAAGGTTGGAGGGAGGTTAGATCCTTAGCTAGAATAGACAAACAATCCCTTCCGGCACAGCTGCGATGTCCTTGATCTTGTGGTCTTCTCCATCGCGCAATGAGTGGAGAGCCAAGCTGATGTTCCATCCTGGCGCAACTGCTAAGCGCCGACCCTGTTTTTTCAAGGGGAGGCGTATTGGAATTGTGGCTGGCAGTTTAGACCTCGACCAACATCATAATATGAAGCTTTAAAACCATTCTGGATCTGATTAGCAAAAGTGCGCTCTCCGATCTCTCGCCTCGCTTTTGTCGAGTCCGATGACATGATAACTGGCTTGGCCCCCATTTGGCATGCCCATGCACTGAGTCACTCGCATCGGCTGGTCTCTAAACACGGGCAAATATCGGAGGGACTGGGAGCCACTCAAGCGCGAAAGCTTTGGGCTGCACAGCAAGCTATGTCAGACGGACGCTCCTTTGCGCGACTGCCTGAAAAACAAAAATTAACCGCAAGCTGAGCAACCTTCTGTAACCCTTTGCCGCAACTAAGTCAAATTGCCAGGCGCAAAGAGTGAGCTCGTGTCAGGGAAGCGCCGCACCGGGACAGCCTCGCAAGCACCCGGGCTCAAGCTCACAAAGGCATGTCAGCTACACCCCCATAGCCATGGCTGGGAACCATTCTGGTCAGCGGAGCCGTGCGGCAAGAGACTTGACAAGTCGCGAAGAGCTGCACTGCAAGCCGGAAGCAATTCCGCAGCCTTTCACCTCCAGGCGACTGCTAAGCGCGGAAGTCGGCAAGCTTTCGAGCATGCCGCTGCACGCCTGCAGACCCAAACACATTGCAAGTCCTAGGCAAATAGGTCGGCTGAGCTGTGCTTTGAGAAGCTCCGAGGATGATTTTGCTGGGGGGGGGGTCAAGAATTTGAGCACAGCGCCCGCGGGAACAGCGGCGTCGCTGAAGCTCGCACATCCATGAGTCTGAGTCATCTATACAGCCTTGCTTGCAGCAATGGACTGAACAAATATCAAAATGCCCCTTGCAGCTTACTTTGGGCAGCGAAATGCACCTGTGGCACACCCGAACGCTAGGATATCCGGGGGTAATGTGTGGAAAGGTGTGGCTCTTTGCGGCTCACATGACCTCTGGCGAATCTGTTCAGATTCTTCACACCGATCCCCTCGCAGAGCCAACAGCTCAAGCTCACAAGCGGCGTGTCAGCTGCTCCTTTCAGAAGCACGCCCTGCAGCGGCTCGTACTGTCTCAAGCGGTCAAGAGTCATTCAGAACACGAACTGATGCGAGCCAGCTACTGCTTCAGCCCGCGGGTGTCAGGCTGTATGGGGCAAGCAAAGGGACGAGGGATATTTGTCTTGGCATGCCCAATCCGTCGTCGAACAGGCTGTTTCCTGCAATCGACAATTTTCGGTGGGAAGTAAGTAAGGGGGATGGATTTGAAAAACTGGCATGGCTGCAGACGGCGGCAAGCAGTTGGGGCCCGCCAAACAACATCTCGCTGGGGTCGTCCTGAGGTTTGTCACGCTTGCGAAGCCACATGCCGTCCGAGGGCAATGGAGGCTGGAATTGCAGAGTCCACAAGCCACGATTGCCCGAAGCTGGAGGCAAACACGTAACGGGGCACTCAACCTAGCCTGCAGCGCCCCTGTTCAACCCTGAGTTAAACAGAGCATGGCTGCAGACGGCTGCTGCCGCAAAGAGTTTGTCGCCAAAGCAGACACCTTGCTGGGTCATCCTTTCATTTCTCCCTCAGCCTTCAAAACTCCACAGGCACAGCCCTCAAGTGTGCGGTGCAGAAGTGCCACCAGCCGCAGGAAACCAAGTCCAAGTTCTCTGCAGCTAAACCCCAAGCCGCGCTTGCCCCAAGCTTAACACCTTGCTTTGGAAAGTCCTGCATGGATGCAAATGGCTGCGTAACGGGGCACTTACCCTGGCACGCAGCGCGGGTGAACCTTGACCTACCCTCTTCAAACAAACTGGCATGGCTGCAGGCGGCTGCAGCATTGGCAAACAGTTGGTCCGCCAAAACAAACACCTCGCTGGGTCATCCTTACATTTGTCCTCACGACTGGAGGCTGGAGCAATTGTGCGTGAGCTTGTCTCACAGAAACCTCAGCCGCGCTTGCCCCAAGCTTAACGCCTTGCTTGGGAAAGTCTTGCATGGATGCAAACGGCTGCTATGCAACGGGGCACTCAACCTTGCCTCTTTGTGGCATGGCTGCAACCGGCTGCAGCTGCCTCAAACAGTTGGGGTGCGCCAAAGCAGACACCTCGCCAGCGTCGTCCTTACATTGGTCCTCACGCAGCCTTCAAACTCCTGTGCAGCCCTCAAGAGTGCAATGCAGCAGTACCCGCAGCCACAGGACCCGAGTCCAAGCAACAGCACTCTTGGCCAGCAGCTAGGGCGCTGGTTGCAGGGGCACGCCTACACAGAGATTCGTAATTCAGTTTGGGTTCAAAGGCCATTGACACACAAGGTACACCTGTGCGCAGACGCGTCAAGGCTGTGTGGGATGGCAGCTTTCCCACACTTGCCCCAAACTTAACGTCTTGCTTTGGAAAGTCTTGAGTGGATGCAAACGGCTGCTGCGTAACGGGGCAATCAACCTGGCCCGCCGAGCACTTGTTGAACCTTGATTTGCCCTCTTTAAACAGACTGTCATGGCTGCAACCGGCTGCAGCTGCCTCAAACAGTTGGGGTGCGCCAAAGCAAACACCTCGCTGGGGTCGTCCTTACATTGGTCCTCACGCAGCCTTCAAACTCCTGCGCTGCCCTCAAGAGTGCAATGCGGCAGTACCCACAGCCACAGGACGTGAGTCCAAGTCATCATGGCAGACTCCAGCACTGTTGGCCAGCAGCTAGGTCGCTGGCTGGAGCAATTGTACGCGAGCTTGGCTCACACAAGCCCCAAGCCTCGCTTGCCCCAAGCTCAACGCCATGTTTTGGAAACTCTTGCGGGGTCACGTCTTGCGAATCTCCTCACATTCTTGACGCCACAACGATCCCCAACAGCTCAAGCTTACAAGCGCATGTCAGCTACACGGCATGCTGCAAAGCCACAAGGCACAAAAAGATCTGAAGGCAAACTCCTCAAATTTAAACTCTGCCAGCAGGCACAGTGCCGACGCACCCAAAGTGCCGATGCCCATGAAGTTTACAAAGCCCAAAGCGAGCAGCTTCTTACCCCTTTTTTGATGTCTCCCATCGGACTGGCATGATGTAGATAGCTTCTGCGTGGGTACTCAACCTAGCGTTGCCCCTACTGGTTCAACCTTGATTGCCCTCTTTAAACGGACTGGCATGGCTGCAACCGGCTGCTGCGGCGAAGAGTTGGGGTCTGCCAAAGCAAACACCTTGCTGGGGTGATTGGGGTCATGCCACCAAGCTCCTGCAGTGCTCATGGCTCACAAACTGGCAGATTGGGTGCGCGCCGTGCCTAGTAACACTCCAAGTGGTTTGGAACACAACTAGACCCGGCTGGGACCGGCTGGGACGCTGTCGTGCAAACAGATTTGTAGCTCAAAAGCGCCTCCAGCGCCAAGGCAGCGCCTCCAACGAAAAGTCCTCATTGACTTGCGGCGCTACTTGGAACGAAACCAGAGGCAGCTGAAGCACTGGGCACCTCTTCTTCTGAGGTTTGCTCCAGAAATCAAGCCACGCTCGCTTCAGTCTTGATGGCTTGCTGCAGCAAGGCTGGCATGGCCGCAGATGGCCGCAGCCGCGGCACAAAGCTGCGGGCTGAGCGGGTAGTTCGCGGAGGTGGGACTGATGGCTCCTGAAGAGGCAACAGCAGAGCAGCCTTCACAGCCGCACAGACCTCCACGCCCTTGCGGCAGACTGTGTCCAAAAGCGCTTCAAGAGGTCTCACCTTGCGCCAGCCAAAGCAATGGCGGGCGACGCAAAGGGGGCCCCTCAGAATGGTCTGAGTTGGAGGTTAACTCGGCTGTGGCGAAGGTCTGGTTGCCAAGCACAGCGCATGCAGGAATCGAACCAAGACTGGAGCAAACAAATGTGTTGTCGCGCAGCCGCGACAGGGCGTTGACAGCTTGGCTCACAAACGTTCGTCAGCAATTCAGCACCTACAGCGACAAGTCCGCAAACGCCTGTGCCGTGTCTAGGGGAAATGACAGGTGGAGCACCGGGCACAGGGCTTTCTGTGCGGAAGTTCCGCTCCAAGATCTCTCCTGCCAAAGCAATTGTGGGCGATGCAAAGGGGGGCAGCATGGTTTGAAGCTGAATTGGCTATGAAGGTCTGGGGGCTTCCGGCACGCGTGCGAGGCGAAAACGCCACGGGAGGAGAAAGCAGATTTGTCATCGGGCAGAAACAGCGCCTTGACGACTTGGCTCACAAACGCTCGTCGGCAGTGCCTACAGCGGCAAGTCCTCATGGCAGAGTGCTTGGGGCGGAGCTACTTGGAATGAAAATCAAACCCAAGGCTTGATTCATGGCAAACGTGAGCACCAGGTTTAGAAGGAAAAGACAGCTGGAACACTAGGCTCAGGGCTTAGTGTATGGAAGTTCCGCTCCAAGAGATCTTCTGCCAGCAAAGAAATTTTGGGCGATGCAAAGGGGGGCAGCATGGGCTGAAGCTAAAACGGCTACGATGAAGGTCTGGAGGCTTCCGGGCAGGCTCAAGCAAAGGCAGGAGCAAACATATTTTTCGTCTGTGAGCCACTGCAGGGTGTTGACGGTTCAGCTCACAAAGGTTCGTCACAAAGGGGATCCAAACGGTATCAAACAAAGGGTGTCATACCTGCGGCGGTGTTTGATGGTTTTTGGCAAGATGCCGCAGAGTGATGCACAAAATAGTTTGTCCTCGTGCGATAATGATTGCGTGTTTCGGCAAGGTGCAGCAGCGTGCAGCAGCGTACAGCAGCGTGATGCAACTTGCCGAAGTCTGCATGTCTTGGCCTTGCCCTTGACACCGTTTGTTTGATGCTCCTGAGATCCATCTATAACGAGGCAGCAGTGCCTACAGCAACAAGTCCTCATTGCAGACTGCTTGCGGTGCGACTTGGAACGAAGCCCGAGCCGACTGCTAGAGCACTGGGCACTAGAGCAACTGCGTCTTGTGGGAGTTCTGCTCCCAGAGCAAGCCATGCTTGGTTTGAGTGGCTGGTAGGAAGACTGGCGTGGCTGACGTGCAGAGGGTTGCAGCAGTGGTGCAGACGCCACAGAGCCGGGATCAGCCAAGCAGCTGGCTTGTGATGCTGGGGCATTTCATCTGACCATACTCCTGGAAGGCCTTGGAAAGAAACCCGACCCGACAGCTAGAGCACTGGGCGCTGGATAACTGGCTTGGCCCCCCCACTTCAAACGGGAGCCCTGCAAGACTGCACTCAGTCACTGCCATCGGATGGCGAAAGCTTGGACGATATCGGAGGGGCTGCACTCGAGCGCGACCGAAGCTTTGGGCTGTACAGAGTTCTATGTCAGACAGATGCTCCTTTGCGCCGCCTGGAAGATAAATATGAGCAACCTTCTGTAACGCTTTGCCGCAACCAAGTCAAATTGCCAGGCGCAAAGAGTGAGCTCGTCTCAGGGAAGCACCGCACCGGGACAGCCTCGCAAGCACCCGGGCTCAAGCTCACAAAGGCATGTCAGCTACACCCCCATGGCCATGGGAACCGTTCTGGTCAGCGGAGCCCTGCGGCAAGAGACTTGACAAGTCGCGAAGAGCTGCACTGCAAGCCGGAAGCAATTCCGCAGCCTTTCACCTCCGCCGCGACTGCTAAGCGCGAAAGTCACCAAGCGATCGAGCCAAACACATTGCAATTCCTGAGCATGCCCGGCAAGCAAATAGGTCGTTGCTTTGGAAGCTCCGAGGATGATCTTGCTTGGGGGGTCCAGAATTTGAGCGAGACCTCGCAGCCAAGGCAAGGTCTTCACATCCATCCAGCACGGCGCGCGCGGAAAAAGCGGCGTCGCTGAAGCTCGCAAAGCCATGCATCATCATCTATACAGAAATGCTTGCGAAATTGACTGAAACCAAATCAAAGTGCCATTTGCAGCTTACTTTTGGGCAGCGAAATGCACCTGTGGCACACCCGAACGCTAGGATGTTGGGCGCAAATGTGAAATGGTTTGGCTCCAGGCTACGAACCACACGGCTGCAGACTCATTTCTGGCGAATATTTTCCTTATTCGTCACACCGATCCCCTTGCAGAGCCAACAGCTCAAGCTCACAAGCGCGTGTCAGCTGCTCCTTCCAGAAGCACGCCCGGCGGCTCGTACTGCTCCCCGGGTCTCAAGCGGTCAAGAGCCAGCGGCTTCCTTTCTTTTGTCCGTCATAGGATAGGGAAAGGGACGGGCGGGCCGAGGAAGGGATGAGGAGAGAATGGGAATGGCGGGTCTGCCTTTCACTGCCAAGCTTGCTTCAAGCTTGGTGACTGGCTTCAAGAAGGCTGGCATTGCTGCAGGTTGTAGCTGTAGTGCAGAAGGTGCGGAGCTTGGGTCAGCCAAGCAGCCATCTGACAGCACTCCTGGGAAACGTGCAACAGATCACACTCACAAGCCAGACCTCTGGGCGCTGGACCTAACTTGACGAGTAGCCGTGGACATGTCGCAAATGCAAATGGCTTTCAAGCAATTGCTTGATCAAGTCATCATTGCGCAAGCATCCGCTGAGAAAGGCTGGCATTGATCCACTGGCCCCCGTGCATTTATTTATTCCAGGCAGACTGTCGCGCTGTGAGCGTGCTGTCGGACGCGCCGGAGGCTATCCTGACATTGATTGTTGCACGGCGCACGGTGCCAAATACCTGAAACCTACGTTGGCCGAATATCCTGCTGAGCCGAAAGCCACGATGGGCGGGTAGCTGCCCAATTACCACTCATGCAAAACCACAAAATGGGTTTCGGGCGAGTGATTGAAAAACACTGTATTGCAGCGATCATGGCGGCGACAAGCAGGATAAAACAACGATTGTGAACACGCATCTATCTTCATTAAGCAAAACAATAATGGTGATCTTTTACAAACACATCATAATCGATCTATGTCTGCCCAACGCACGGACAAACTTCACACATTCCAAGAGGAGCCTCCAGTATGGACCAGAGATCAAACCGCGAGGCCGAAGGCTCAACCTCCTAAAGAGCAAGTTGAAAACGGATTCACCTATAAGGAAGCCTTGGTAAGCCGAAGTGCAAGCCCACGCCATCCCACGAGACCCCGAAAGTCAGGTTTAGCGAAAAACCTACAAACCAATCCCAAGAGCTTCTCCCTATGTATATATATATATATATATACGTATAGGGAAACAACAACTTGGCGGGCCTGAAATCCACAAACTAAGAATTCACACGGCAAATCAAACTATGCCTTTCGCAAGTTCGATAAACCAAAGGATGCCCGGTAGGGATGTTGGAGATATTGCATAGTAGGCTTTTTACATAGACATTGTTGCCCAGTCGGTCTTACGTCCTTCTTGCACCAAATCCTTTTGGTTTGCAGCTAAGTATATGAAAGCTTGAAACTATTGGATTTAAACCCTAACAAGTCCAAGAGCCTAACTGATTGCAGACTTGAGCTAGGGTAACATGCTGAAAATGTCCAGGTTCCTCCATCCGCCCCAAGAGGGGCATCCATGTCCGCTGGCCTCCGGGCTCCTCCGGCATCTCTCGCTGCACCAGAGTGGTCTGCCGGAACATGATCTGCCAAGGTCCTCAGCGCGACTCCGATCCCAGCTCGTCGCAGCTCGGAAAGAATTTCATTTCGAGAGGTCACGGGGCATGGACGGCGGTTTCCTTGGCCCAACCTTTGCTCTTGTAGACGGCTTCTTTGGCTTGGCGCAAAGACTCGGAAGTCGCTGGGCAGGGTCGCCCTTCCCGACGTTTCTCGCAGCCTTGAATGGAACCCATGGAACCGTTCAGATGGACCTTGCACACATTGAGAGCAGGCGTTGGCCCCACGAATACTAATAGTATACCTTGAGCATAGAGCCTTCGTTCCTCCGATGGAATCCCAACCACTAGTGCTTTGGTTCAGGCGGGCTCTTCAATCGACATGTTGTCTATCATTCGCCCAGTCTTATCCTAAACATGGGGAGTTGCATTCTGAGCAGCAGTCAGCAGCATGGATGACAGATTGCAGATTCATCCAAATGAGTGCCATCGGGGCCCCTTCAGTGTGGCTCCAGTTAGAAAAAAAAATTGCGGGTTCTACAGTCCGGGAGCACCTAAGTCAATATCCCGCAGCCCGCGCAAGTGAGAGAGAGACCCCTTGCCAGCTGATTCAGCTGCACGCCCACTGAAGCCTCAAAAAACGATCAAGAATCAAGAGCCGGACCGCCACTGGATCTCCCCAAATCCAAAGTTGATCAATATGAGGTCCACTGAAACACCATACAGATCCACTTTTGGGAAAGACAACATCCGCCCCAAAAAATGGGCCATGGCTCGGACACTTTTTATTTCAAAAAACTCCAGAAGCCCAGGCCGGAAACCGAGGAGCGAGGACTGGGGCCGCGGCTCAGCTGGAACTCCTCCAGTGCGGCTCGGAACATGTTGCACACCCGGAAGGAGTCTCGGTCCTGCGGGTGTCACGTCTCGGGACGGTGAAAACAACTCTTTGGACACACCTCCGCCGAGGGAAAAAGTCCGTCCCATAGATCTGCTCACTCGACTTAGCCCAAGTGCCGCTTTCCCAGGCCCTTTTTTTGCTGGAGCCACGATCAAACATGCTTGTTTCTCCAAGAGGACATGGAGAATCAGTGAGTCCTCTGGCTTCTCCCGAAAGCATTGCGAAGGGTAAAATCGCTATTGCGCCAGCACGAGAGCACACGCAAAGCAAGCAGCATGAGAGCACGTGCAGAGCAAGATGCGCAAGAGGATATGTAGAGCAAGTAGCACGAGAGCAAATGCAAAAGCAGGCAGCACACGAGCGCATACAGGGCAAGTAGCGCGAGAGCACGTGAGAGCGCAAAACACGAGGGAAAGTGCGCAGCAAACTGCAGGCGAGAACTGGCACGAGACATCTTCAGAAGCTTGCGCAAGACACCTTGCACCAGACATGCAGACCCGCAAATGTGATGCGCCGAGGACCAAACCCACCCGACAATGACACCCCTCTGGAAGCCGCGATCCCACCTCAAGCAGGGACCCCGGACGCCAGCCAATTCTGGTTGCAAGCTGCCCGATGGTCCTTGGCTGCTGCCTCTGATTGCCATAAAGCCATCTCTCGTGGGACATCCAACGTTACGAGGTGGATGGCTTTCGGGGGCCAAAGCAAAGCCGTCGACATTAGCTGCTGGTTTAGTTCGGTACTTCTTAACCTAGGGGGCGATTTCGAACATCAGTTGGGTGAAAATGTGTGGCACGACCTCCCCATTCATGAAATATGTTAACATCGTCTTTGCTTATAAAAAACAGAATAGTGCCATCTACCTTCACCCTAGAGAGCAACTTGCAGAGAAATAATTGCACAGAGAGCTTGAGAAACTTGCACAGAGCACTTGCGCAGAGAAACATCCAACGAGAGCTCGCCCAGAGAAACTTGCATGGATAACTTGCGCGGGAAAAATGCAAAGAGAAACTTGCACAGACAGCTTGCGCAGAGAAACCTGAAAAACGTTCACACTTAGTGGAGATCTTACGCAGAGCAACTTGTAGTGCGAACTTGCACAGAGACCACTAGAGCTTGCGCGCAGAACTTGCTGAGAAACTTGCGCAGAGCTCTTGCGCAGAGAAACTCGCAAGAGATTCTTGCATCTACGACTCCAAACCGCTTTGCAGACTGAAGCTACCCGTTCTTCCAGTCTTTTTTTGGGAAACTTCGTGAATCCCCCGATGTCCGGGTGTGACAAACCAGGGCTTCGGCGGCAGATGGTGCTTGGACCATCTAGGCATGTACGCGCGGGTGAGTGTGGCCTTTTCGGGGTGGCTTGGGAAAATCTGAAAGAGGGATTTCGCATGAGACAAACCCGAATCGCGGACTGGACGAATCGCTCCTCTCGGGTCACGAGGTCGGAAGAAGCACGGCGCCTACCGAAGGATGATGGTCACTGGGCATGGTCTGTGAGACCATCCCACCCTTTTCACATGGAACCTGACAGGGACAGGGGGTCCCTTCAAAAGGAAAATGGGCCAGGACCGAGTCCGTGAACGTCGGACGGTTCCATGTGAAAAAGGGTGGAAGGCGGGGGGGGTATTGAAGGTCCCAGATCCTGGTTGCTGTTTCTCAGTGTGGAGATCCGACCTTGGGAGCACCAACTTTCATCTACTCAGATTCTGAGTGTGGCTCAAATGTGAAGGGATGGTTTTTGAGTTAGTTTGATGACTCTGCCCCCAGGTTCTCCCTGGAGGTGCTATCCTTTGCCACCGTCGCCGCAAGAATCGTTTGAAATGAGGAGTCCTCATTCCCCTAAACTGAGCCAGCCCTGTTGTTCTGAATGGACACCAAGGGGAAAGGTGGGGCTCACGTTTTGTAGGATCCATATCCCGTTTTAAGACAACCCTATTTTGCATTCAGAGAAGCAATGTGGTTTGTGTCAAAATGGGTAGACGCCCAAAAAAGTTGGTTCCCCTGCAGATTTCTCTTTACCAACCAAAAGAACGCCCCATCAGTGTCTTTCTTGAGGCTACCTTTCTGAAGGGAACCAAATCGTGGTTTTACTTTTGGGGTGTCCCCTATTTTTGGTGTGGTTTACAGGGAACCAAAGGGAACACGTCCATGTTGTTTTGGGGGGTGTCCCCTAAATTCGCGATCTACCCACGGAAAACCACCATTTTGGGGTGTCCCCCAAGAAAAACGCCACACCCATTGAGAGACCAACCCCACGGTCAACGAGTCAGGCGTCGCAGTCAGGGGCCTGAGCTTGGCGTGGAACTCCACAGCCAACGGCCCCACCTCCTCGTCAGAGATGCTTCCGCCTGGGGGGTGGAAGCGTCTGGAACCCCCTCATCTCCCCCCAAAAGAAACCAAATGGTATCCCCGAACCCCTCCCCCTCCAACAAAAAAGAAGAAAAAGTATCCCCTGCCCTGTGGTACCCGCAGCCCGGAGCCTCTCGAACCCTCCCTGAAAGCGGCTCAGCACCCCGGAAACCTATCTGGGCCTTTCGACCCCCATAGCTTCCAGGGAAAAAATCGCTGGGCGTACTTTGCTTTCCCGGTCAAATGGAATTCTCAAGGGTTGATGGCCACATGGCACACGATCGACACTACACGGAACATGGCGAAATGAGATCCGGGGCCGTTCCCGAAGTCCATGTCTCGGGGGAATGGCTCAAAGCTTGTGGATGGAAGTCGGTGACCTGTCTTACGCACTAAACAAAGCTTGCCATTCATCCAGGATCTGGCAAGTCTTCAAAAAATTGCTTAAAGGATGCTTCCGATCGGCGTTTCCTCTCGGGCAGACCCAAGCACATCCCGAAAACAAGGCCAGCTTTCCTATGGTCAAGTCTTTTATCTGTCATCTCTTTTACTGTTTCATTTCATAATATGTGTATTAATTATGTATCTTCTTATTAATCCATGTAAATCCTAATATAAATTCTTCTAAAAATCATTTGTTAATCATTTTATAATTACAGTAAAGAAAGGCTTGTAAGATAGTGAATCACCTTTCATCTTGGGAACTCTTCCAACTGTAGAATCCTTGAACACTGTCCTTCCTACCAACTAATCTCAGCAAATAATCTTGAATGCTAATGACACAGGAATTCATCTTCTCTTTTCTCTTTCTAATTCTCACGGTCACCTACAAAGCTAAGATTATTTGATGAGATGGCATGCCACATCATAAAAGAAGAGGCGAGAAGCCGAGAAACCTGACCATAGGAAAGCTTCTGAACAGACCACACAGAAAGACTCTCCATCCAAGATCGAAACAACAACTGCATTCGTCCGTTTTTTCATTGGCATAACAAGTCAGCAGCCTGGCTGCACTGCTCCAAAACTGGTCATTATGAATCGATGAAGCTCCCACCCCTGGGTGGCACCCAGCAAAGAAATACTGAAGCAAAGTGAGGTTGCAACAACCCACCCTTTAGCGTGTTGTGTTTTCCTGTGTGAGTCGTTTACCGGCATACTGGGATTTCGTCAAAAATGTCGTGCAGCGGGGCGCTCCACTGCCCACTGCCGCGGGGCAGTTGTCCCCAGCCTGATCGCTCTGACGCCCCCGATGAGGATGGTAGCCTTGCGCCAGCAGAGGTGCCATGGGAAGCATGCCACGCATCCATGCAGGAACCAACAATGTAGAACAAGTGGCACAGACTCTTGCTCAAGGTACAATATCATCTCGCCGACGCAGTGGCAGACATGCTCGCTTGCCGTGGCAAGTGCTGGTCAGTATGCACCTGCCTATCGGATGCGTGTGAAGGCACTCGCTCCTTCCCACAGGCCATCACTCATATGGCTGTGGGTCAAAAATAGGCACCCCAAATGGCTTGCCCTGGTAAAAGGAAACATGGACTAAAACCTGCGGTCCATATCCTGGTGGTTCAAATTTTGACCCACAGCCATATCTCATGAGCCCGGGTCCAAATCCAGAACGGCGTAAGACGACGTCAAGGAAACGATGGCGAAGGATCCATGTCCACTCGACACTCACACGTGATGCCAAACGGGTGTCTCTCTAAAAGCGGGAAGTGCCACAATACGTGGGTTGCTTTTGATGGTTTACCCTTAAAATCAATCCAAGAAGAACACCTAGCCTCCAAACAACAAAGCACGCCCAACCAGCCAACTGAGTCCTCTGGATATGCTGCCGAAGCATGAAGCGAAGACGGCGCCGGGGGAAGTCTGTCCTTGGCAGTTGGGCAAGGCGTCGAAAGCAGCAAAGCGCACGCTGGATGCTGCCACTGAGGTCTCCCACTGATCGTGATTGGGTATGGATCAAAATTTGAACCGCCAGGATATGGACCGCAGGGTTGAGTCCATGTTTCCATTTACCAGCGCAAGCCATTTGGGGGTGCCATTCTTTTTTGATCCACAGCCCACAGCCAGTTCCAGCCCCGTCCTGAAAATGATTCATAGGACGTCGTTCCGTGCTAGGCGGCACTGGGGGAAGCGTCTCCTTGCGCGTGAACTGCAGTCCCACGACCCCCCGCGCACTGCCGCGAATCGCTGGAAATCACAAATGCATGCCGCTAAAAGGATCCCAGCCCCTCGGACCTCAAACTCCTGAGCGGACGGGTCCCATCAGCTCACTTCAAGCCCGCCTCGCAGGGCTTCCAGGAGGGAGACGTCAGTGTGGAATGCCACCTACCAGCTGAGAGCTTCACACGAGTCTTGGAAAGGCCGCAGGGACATTGGGATCACCCAATTGCCTTGCGGATCGCAAGCATGAATCACGGCAAAGCGCATCCGAAACATATCAGAATGCAGAATGCCGGCCAGGCTTCGCTCAGCGGTGCTACGCCTGAAGTGAGCCTTTGACATCGCGGCGAAGCCTGACCCAGCCTTACCAAGGGTCACTATGCAGCCTTGGTTGTCACAAGCCTCTACACGCCACACATCTCTGCATCCCCCTGGCTACAACAATACCAGCCCTTGCGTCGCTAGCCAGTCCAACAGCCAACAATCAGGGCCTGTTTTCTGAGCATAGGGAAAGAGGTTCCACCACAACCTCGAACAGTCCAAAGCGCCATTGATTCATACTAAGTACGGAAGAGGCCAGTTAAGGATTCGTCAGGGTGAGTGTGATGTAGTGGATGAACACTTGGATTGGTGTGTTGGTCGATGGGATGTGTTTCATCACCGCTCAGTTTGGGATTGCCTCCGCTGTTGTTTCAAAACTGGCTGCAAGACCTCTAGCCACCTGCAAGGCCAGCAAAACATATGCATTGCTCGCTCGGGCAAGTGCGCATAGTTCACAAGCATATCGAACCAAAGCAAGCGCAAAGGCTACGGCTGTTTAAAAATTCCCATTCTCTCTGTCTCCGCATAGGTCCTCTGTGCTCGCGGTGCATCAAGAAGGCTGGCTGCCTCAACCCCCGGCCTTTTTCTTGATGAGCTTACCTTTGTTTTCATTTGGAATCCAAAACGGGGTGCTGATTCTGCGAGACACCCAAAGGCCCTTGCCCCGTTCACTTCTCTTGGAGTATCCCTGCCTGTCACTGGGAGGCATAGTCGTCAGGGTCTGGGCATCGTGGGTTCGGGGGTGGGCTGGATGCCACCAAAAGCACCGGCTGTGGGATTTGTGGCATTGCCAAGTGCAACATGACGCGGCAAAATCAGAAACAACCTTGGACTCTTCTCAACCCAACAAGGCTTGAGTTGCTTCCCTCTCAAAACGAGGCAATCTGTACTCACTTTGGCCGACACAGCGTGGCAATTCCTTGACACCAAACGAACATCCAGCATTCGGCTGCGCAAAGTCAGATAGTCGCATACAGTGCGAATGACCTCTGCACTTCAGTCTCTCAGCGCCGGCATGAATGTGTAGTTTGCTGGGAAAGTTCAAAGTCAGCCCAGCTCTGCGGCATGCACATGCAACCATGCTTCAAGCTGTTCGATCGAAAGTGGGTCCTTTCTCAATTTATGCGTGCGGCCAGCACTGTGGATGAAAACTCTTTCATGCGTCAAAACTCTTTGGCGAAGCCGCCCCACCCCCCACCCCCACCCCGACCCCCCCCCCCGGCCTCTGCCTCCTTGCACTGCTCCTACCACCATCCCATTTGGTCAAGGTGGCCAATCTGAGAACGGTAACCGGAACACCTGGAAAAAGTGCTTAAGGCTTGAACCCACGAAATCAATTCCTCCCAAAGGAACACAAGAACCGCACTCCCGACGCCACCTCCCTCGGCGGGTTCCGTCCTTCGCCGACGGCATCGGCCCGGCTCCGGCCTCGCTCACCGGAGATGTGGCGGTCGATGCGACCAACGGGTGACAACCAGAGGGAGATCAATGGCTGTGGCTCAAAAGACCGGTACCCAAAATGGGTTGCCCTGGTATTGCCTGTAAATACCAACAAACAGTGGTTTCAACCATGGTTTCTTAGGTGGTGCGAAATGGATTTCGTCCATCCACAATACCTTTCATGATAGTTGGGTATGGGTCAAAATCAAACCACCAGGATATGGACCGCAGGGTTTGGTCCATGTCTCCACTTACTAGGGTTCCATTTGGGGTACCTGTCGTTGACCCACAGCCAAATGTGTGACACCTTTGGTTGATCAATGTCAGAAACGTGCCCAAATGTCGGTGCCAGTCACAGAGGCGAGATGTGACACTTGGGGCGGGTCTTTGAAATGATGCCCTGTGTGGGGAAGCCGAACGAAAGCTTGAAGCTCGTCTCAAACTTGGGAACGGAGATGGGTTGAACCCCTTTTGAAACCAGATGCGTTGAAGTGTTCGCCAGCAGCCAGCCTGTTGGCTATGCCAACATTTGCATCAGGCTCCGGGCTCGGTCAACTTCGAGTCGCTTCAAAGAAGACTTCGCCATTGCCTGGAGCGAATGGCTTGGTACTCAAGGCCTGAACCCTTCCAATGGCTGCATGTCAGTTCTTGTCCGACTAAACTGCGTGTTATCCTGCACCATCAGTTTGAGCTTTGTCAGAGCATGTTTGCGTGTCTGTATTCTGGCTTTCTGGTGGCTTCCATGTGAGAATTGCTAACACCCCAAACACGGCCTGGCTGACAGGGCTGAGAGGGCTGATGGGCTGGTGCACTGCAAACGAGTTCGTGCTCGGCGAGCTTCTGGGCTGCACACCTGCGAAAGGGCGTAAATGAGGCCTTTGCAGTTCCGCCTTGAAGTGGGGAACCATGTTTATTCGGGATGAAGGCCCACAAAGGTATCACCAATTTGAGGGAGAAGCTCCAAGGTGCGCCACCGCGCCTTGCTCCCTCCCACCTCCATCGCCAAAGGAGGCCGTACTCTGAAAGTCTGCACCTCACCGCGACGTGACACCCGCAAGATCAAGCAAACATGAAAACGCTTGCCCTCCAGATTGCTATCATGAGATCCCGCGAGACTCTTTTGGGCGGCAGCGAGGCTGGCAAGGCTCTTGCACGCGCCTCGCCCGCGCGCAAGGATCTCCTCCAAGGTCTCCATGACGATGGGGGTGGCCACTGCTGGGGTGTCCGACCTACGATGCCGAGGTCAATGGTTCCATGAGGAAAATCGCATCCTACGCCCACGCCCCCTCCAGAGTCGTTGACTGTCTATGTGGTTATCAAATTCGGAAGCTGAACGAGCCGTTGGGCCCACTGCCTGTCTGAAGGCCTTTTGTCCAATTGCATGTTTGGAGGCGCAGGTCTACTGCAAGATGCTTTCCTGGTCGTATGCCGACGGAAATATCCAAACATTCTGCGACCACAGTACTCTCCTGGAATATGCAATCCCTATGTGAGCCAGATTCAAAATATGCAGTTTCCAAAATAGAAACACGGAATAACATGTTAGCAAGTTCCCCAGCTTTTGCGGCAAGTTTAGCAAACCCCCCCCTCTTGTTCCTTCCAAGTTAACCATGGACTGCTGGATATCTTGACCGCTTGGAATACAAACAAGATTAGTCGGATTCTGCAAGCAGTTTGCCCGCAAGGCCCAAATGAGGTTGCTCAGTTGCCAATCTGCGGCTCGCCATGTGCAACACGCTATGCGGCACTTGTGTTGAGTTCATTTCTTTGCTCCTGACAGGCGGGATTCAGCAACTGAATCAACCTCCAACAGGTTCGCTGGGCTTCCCCTTCAAAGGTGGGGTTCAGTGAAACTGCCACTTTTGGAGGTCCAAAAAAGCCCCCCCAAAGGTGTGAAGTGTGCGCCCAGAACCCTGTGACTCCAGAAAACAATACAAGATACAGGCCCTGACTTGAACTTCTTAATTGGTACCGTTCTTGATTGGCCGTCGGTCAAAGAAACTACGCCCTCTGTCAAATTGTGATTTACATGAAATCCCCACAAGTTCCACATGTGGCTGTGGGTCAAAACCAATGGGATCCCATTTTGGTTGGTAGGTGAATTCACCACCCATTTATGGGGATTGAATCGGTTGTTCACCGGGGCTAACCGATTCGGATTTTGACCCATGGCCAGGCCCGCCTCGGAGAGGCGGGCTGGCCTAAGCTCGATGCACGCGGACAACTTGTGGGCGCAAACTGGTTGATACCAGACCCAAACGGTCAAACCCCTCGTCGGATCATAGAGATCTTCCCAAATCCCAAACCTGGTCCCCCATTGTCTCGTGGCCCAAACCGATTGCCCTTGAAGGCCGAGCGAGCCCCTCAGTTCATGGGTTTCACCTAGCCCCCGGCCCAGCATGGCACGCATGAAGAAAAAATACTCCCAAGATCAACGCTTGATCTCCTCAAGCTTGGCCCCAGGCCCTCTCTGGTCTCCGCGGAGCTCGTGGACTGCCAGTTGGCAGTGGAAAAACCCTCCTTTCTGGGCTTTGTGTAAGCCCCTGGTCGGTGTTCTTTGTTGGTTTCCTTTTGGCAAAGCGAGGGTTGAGGTGTTTGTTTTGCTGACTAGCCCCGGCTCTTCCCCTCATGTGCCTCTAAACCATCTTGGGCTGGGGGGAAAGCAGCATTCTCTGGGGGCCTGGTGGCCAGGCTGGGGGTCGGGGTTGGGTTGGCCGCATCCCCGGCATCACCGGCCTCGGAGCTCGGGCCTATGCCTGGGTGGGTTTGAGATTGACCTTGGGTGGTTGGTTTAGCTTGGGGCTGATTTGTGCTAGGTGTGCGGCTGGTTTAGCGGTGGCTTTCGGGTTGCTCTAGGATGTGGTTATGCGAGTTTTGGGCTTCGGTGGTTTGGGCAAAGCCACACCGCCAGTGCCAAAACCAGTCACACAACCACACCCTAAAGCACCTAAAGCCACTGCCAAAACGAGCCGCACACCTCGCGTAAATCAGCTCCAAGCCAACCCAAACTGACCCAACGTCAACCCTAAACCACCCCCAACAACAGCTTGGATGTCCTTTGCCAAGCCTAAATGAACCCTAAACAAACCCAAGACCTGCTCAATAAGCCCGACACTAGCCCGAGCAACTCTCAACTACCACTAGAATCAAAGCCAACCAACAATCAATCAACCAGCCAGCCAGCCGGCCAACCAACCACGCCCAAGCCCCAACACCAAGAAACCGGGGATGCTAGGGCCCACCCACCCACCCACCCAATCAACCAACCAACCAACCAACCAACCAACCAACCAACCAACCAACTCAACCAACCAACCAACCAACCAACCACCCACCCACCCACCCAATCAACCAACCGGGGTCTAGAAAAACAACACCGGTTCCCAAAGGGCAGCTCGAACAAAAAGACCTCCATTTTGACTTAGGAATGCACGGGGAGCGGGGAAACTCGATATGGGCCGTCCCATGGCATGGGATGGTCGTCGCTGGAGCCAGCAGTCACTGCTCATTGCTCAATGCTCTCGTGGGCTTCGTTTCCATGTGGAGGCAGTTGTCCGATGCTTGCCTTGCGGCAAAGACTGCTGTGTGCACGCAGCCAAAGCGAGAGCAAAGGATTGGAAATGCATGTGCTGCAAGTCTCTACCCCGAGCTCCTGCACAACTGCACAAAGCTGACCACAGAGTGGTCCATGCAAAGCTGACTTGCCATCTAGCCCCGATTCTACACTCAACAAAGAAGGTAGGTCTCTTGGAAGGCCGAACTCGCCTGAGGGTGGCTTGCCAATTCATTTGCTGGAAGCCTCCATGGACCCCGCAGCAAAGGTGTGCTCCCAGGTGGCCTCGGAGGATTCCAACGGAGGATCCTGCCAGAATTCAGAGCCCCCAGAAGGTTCGGCCACTTCGGGGCGGGGGGGAAGGAAACCAAACCCTCTACCAACGCCCACGTGGCACGACGAACCCCGCCGGAAAGCAGCAAAAAAAAAAAACGGCGCTTCCAGGTCATGCTCGCAAAAAAAAAAAAAAAAAAAAAACGGCCTCCACGGGCGTCGGCATCTTGCTCTCACGCCTCAGCACTTTTTTCGCAGAAGCCAACTCCCATGCTTCACCCAACGACCGTGGGAAGTCATGTTGAGATTGCTTCGGAGACACCTGTTCAGCCAAATGGCTGTGGCTCAAAAATAAGTACCCCAAATGGAACCCTGGTAAGTGGAAACATGGACCAAAACTTGCGGTCCATATCCTGGTGGTTTAATTTTGACCCATATTTACATGCTTCCAGTCCGATGGTCGAGCGCTTGAAGCATCAGCTTCATGCTTGGGACGCTGCTGGAAGTCCTTGAGGATCTGCCATCCCTGTGAGACTTGGCCCAAGTACTGACCAAGATCCGTTTGTTGAGTTCAGATGGACTGTCCACTACAAGTCTTGACAATCTGGTTTCAGGTTCTGCTCCCTACCTCTAGCCCAATTACCCATCTGTTTGTTGCCCCCATGGCTGATCACCCACGACCCTGTCACCTTGCCATATAGCATAATGTATCAATCTACAATCAAACACATCCTCTTGATTGGAACAAGTCATGTTCAGATTGTCACAGGCCCAAGAACAAAATCCGCTCAATCCAAGAACCAAGATGTGAGCCTGCAAGAAAACCGAAGCGGTCTTTCTGCACTAGCTGCGGTCGCCGCAGCAAGCCCCAAGTCTCTCCCGGCAAGATTCCCAACAATTGGTGATCTGGGGAATACCAGGCGAAAATACAGGATCCGCCCCCTCCCCCTCCCCCTCCCCCCTCCCCCTCCCCCTCCCCCTCCCCCCCCCTGTCCCCCTCCCCCCTCCCCCTCCCCCCCTCCCCTCCCCCAAGGAATCTTGGGGCCTGAGATCGCAAACTCCCTGAGGTCTCCAGAAAGCGGTTGCCGAGAGTTCTGCCACTCCACCCCAAGCGCGAGCAAACCAACGGCGCGAGCAAGGCGCCGTGGTCAAAACTTATGACACCGTCACCCGGGGGAAAAAGATCCTGAAAGAAATCCGAAATCCGACGGGCGATGGTGAGAAGCCGCTGACCACACGCCGGCCTTCGGCGAAAGGAACAGCCCAGATCCGCTCGGCTTGACGTAGTCAATGCCCAGCCGAAGTCGCCTGCACCTGAGCCAAGTGCCCGTCAACCTTCATGTGGCCATGGGTCAAAATCCGAATCGCACCCCGAGTGAACATCCCAATTCCCACTATAGACTAAGATGGGTGCACCTACCCCAAAATGGTACCATTGGTGTTGACCCACAGCCATGTGGCCCATATGCATGGCTTTCTTGGGATCAAGGGATGCATCCCTGACAACCCCCATGGCAAATATAAGCAGCGAACAATATTGCTTGCAAACCGCTCAGCTCATTTCAATTAACCCTTTGGGGAAATATGAGAAGTGGGGTAGTCCCCCATGTGTTCCCCCAATGTAAAATGACGTGCAGCCTGAGCACTTGAGCAGCGTCGGAATAAGTCGCAAAACTTGGCCCATGCACATCCCTTGTCCAGATGGGTTGCAAAACACCCCTATGAAAAACCCTTCAGCTCTCAGAAGCCGGGTTGGACAGCTCGCATCGAGTGACGAGACCCTGCAAACGCACATGTCACTGGGTTCAGGGCTTCTCCGCACCATCAGCCTGCAGTTTGCAGCTGACAAGAAAAATATGCTGCATTCCGAACGAGGCTACCTGCTTCCTGCCAGATGTCAGGCTGTGGGAAGCACCTTTTTGGAAAGTGCTATTGGCTAAGCACATCGAAACGCGTCGGACCTGTCGCATCCCAGGACCCAAGACACGCTATCCCAAGTCCCAGCACTGCTCCGAGGATATGCAGCACGTGCTGTCTTTGGAGCCACCTGATTCTACATCAACATGCAGGGGGCCTGGCAATGCTCAGATCTCAAAACTGCCATAGCCCAGCACATTCTTATTCAAGAATTATTGGCCATTCTGTGATGGATATTTTTGCCGTGCATCACCAACATCCATCCAGGGTCTGCTCGCCCGCCCGCCCTCCTGCCCGCAAACGCACCCACACACCCGCCCCCGCACGTGACACGTCGTCGGTTAGCTTCGACAATGCCGCATGTGTGTTGCTCCTCGATACATCGGGACCGGCACAAGGACCACAAGTCACGCGCGTGTCTTTTTTGGGGGGTGACCATTGTTGGTGTTAAAGGAAAACCAAGAGGAAAACCAACAACCATTTTGGTGGTCCACCTACAAAAGACACACCCAAATGGTAGATGTACTGTCTGACAGAGTTGGGCTTCAGCCTTAAACTGTACCTTTTGACCAACTGATTCTCTGAAACGGTCGCTGAAAATCACACGCCTTTTTCCAGGATATCAACCTCACGACAGTCTTTGGTTTGGTGGCTGTTTAGACCTGAAAAACCAAACCTAAGAGGACAAAGCATCATCCGATTCCTCAGATCATGCCAAACAACTTGGCCTTCCCAGGCAATCAGCAGCCGGCAAAGTCCGGCTGAAGCAACAAGCCCTTCAGCGCCAAGACATTTCTCCTGGTCTTCTCCTTTGGGGTTTACGGGTCAGCCTGGACTCCTTCTGTGCTCATCTTGCGCACCAACAGGCCCCCTCGACTTGCGGCTCCCGGACCAGGAGCTTCTAACATGCTCCGCTTGCTCCGGGCCTCCGCGAGATATTTGGGAAAGAGCACCTCCCAGATCCTTTCCTCACGTGCAACGAGATCTCTGGGTGTATCTTCTCGAGAGTGCCTTTGGGTTGGCACTGAAACGCAAACAAAAGCACAACCCCGAAAAATGGAGACAGTTTTTGTGCCAAGGGAATTAGCCCAAAGAAATCAGCCCAGACGCTCAAAATCCCATCCTGTCGACCAAATGCCGAGTTCCTAAGTCTGTGTCTACAATGTGGTAGCGACATAAGCAGCACAAATCGTGAATCCTGCGGCTGAGCTCTGAGACGGCTCAAATGAAGATGAAACCAGAGACAAAAAACCAGACCCTGCCCCCCACTTGGCACGGCAGAGAAAGATTGCCACTTGTACGGACCTTCCCCCGATGGGTGGGATCCCCGCAAGTTCGCCGAGAGTCCAGAAAGTGACACTGCAACCGCGCCAGCTGACCGAACAAAGCCACATCGTTATCATCAAAGCCTCAGGGCAAGAGTCGGGGGCCACGGGGTTGTGATGAACTGGCCAGCAGGATTGATTTGGCCCAAGGCTTGGGTCAAAATAGGGTAACCCCAGAATGGCTTGCCCTGGTAAAAGGCAACACGGACTAAAACTGGCGGTCCATATCCTGGTGGTTTAATTTCGATTTGGCCCTGAAAACAAACAAATCAACACATCTGGCATGTGGTCATGGCTCGAACAGGCGCATTTCATTTGTTTCCCGGTGCCTGTCAGTCTTGTCAGGGCTTGCGCTTTGGCAAGGAGCTATCTCCTGTTCTAGCTCGGCAGTGACCCTTGCAAACGCGAGCTGCGCACACTTGCGAGGATTTGACCCAACACGGAATGAGGATGCTGGTCAGAGAGCCCGGGGCAAGACTACTTTCAAGTGGTGTCAAAGCAGTTCATACGGCTTTGTACCAAAATGTGGGAACCCGAAAGATGGACACCACCTCCAAGAAAGTGGCCTCAAAAGACAGTTGTATGATATGCACATATTTGTTTACATGCCTGGACGAATACTTTTACTTCGCAAATGATTTGGAGGAGATTTCACGCACCCCTCGGTCTCGTCGAGCAGCTCTTGCTGGTGTTGAAGGCGATCTTCACGAAGAGGCGGTGATCAAACTTCCGCGCAAGGACCTGCGGGGCGGACATGGGCGACCTGAAAGGGGGGTTGGCTGAAGTGAGGGAACCCCCCCCGCGTGGAGCCGGACAGATGTGCTCAGTGTCCATCCTAGTGAAAATCGCTTAAAAGTTTGTCCTTGACCCATGTAGAGGCACTGAAGGTGCACAAGTGCCAACTGGATAACAAGCAGAAAGTGTGCAACTTGCCAAGAAAATGCGACTAGTTCATGAATATAATTAACAGCGGAACCCTCATGTTCCGAAGTGCCTGCCAGATGTGAACACATAGAGCCAGCGGCACGCTTGTCCGATGGTGCAGTAAACCAATAAGACATGGATTTGAGTACCGCGCCAGCAGTGCACTTGACACGATAAATTGTACCTTTTTGATGACAATATCAGTGCACCGTTCGATCTTGATGCCTTTCTCAAAATGTGAGCATACGGATCTTGGTGACATTTGCCGATAAGTGCGACGAAGGATCCAATCTTGCGAGAAGGGTTTCTGGATCACTGTCGTATCCTCACGTGTGGCATGCCATAGTGCACCATTGCATTGCAACCTGTTTTGCTGCCCTGGCGCTTTCAGGGTCCGAGTTTTTGGGGCTGTGCCCATCAGCCAGTGCATGGTTTGGTGCGTGCCCCGTGCACGCCATCAGGGTGGAAGATCCCTCCAAAATGATGGCTTTCCCTGTTGAAAGCAGCCAAAAAAGGTACACTGGAAATATGTTGGTAGCAGTTGGGTGGTGAACGAAATCAAAAGGAACCCATGTGGTGCTGGAGCAAACCAAACCGATGCCATTTTGGCGGGGGGCTCCTAGTTTTCACACTTTGAAGTCAAAGCAATTGTCGTTGATTCGATGCTAAACAAGAGGGGTGTGTCCTTAACCTTAATGAGCCTGCGTAAGTCTTCGTCAGGTTTCTTGAGGAAGTGTGCTCCCCACTAGGCATTGAAACCAAATAGGGACACAACAAATGGCTATGATTTTAAATACGGAACCACCTGACAAGTGGTAGACGTGAATCCCCACCTACATGATGTCCACCAAAGAGTCCCCTATTTCAAAAAAAAAGAAGACTATCCAGCCCCAAGTCGCAAACGCCTTCTAGTCCACTAGTCAAGAACCTCCTCCCTTAGGGATTTCTGAATACATCCTCGGGCAGCATCGCAAATGGGCCTCTGCAGCATCTTGCGTGATGAGAGGCTCGGCCTGAAGGCTGCTGATTGCTCATCCCCAAGAAACTGGTACAGCTTCCCGCTTCCCATCAAAGGGTGCAGCCACCAGCAGCGTGGGGTGAACGAAACAGGAAACCGCCCGCCATGTTGAGATCTTGTTGAACAAATGTACGCTCCCCCCCCCCAAAAAAAAAAAAGAGAGAAAAAAGTGTAGAACCCACAAAAAGGGGCCAAAAGGACCCTGTCACAGGAAGGCGAATTCCAGTCCCGTAGCATGGCTGGCATTCTGTTCTTGGTGCGGAAAACAAGCTACACACAGCCCAGCTGCAGCCGTTGCGGTTTGAATGGTGTGAGGGCAGTGAAAGTCATCTTCAATACTTATACTCAATTCTCCTCTGGGGGTGGTGTGAGGGCAGTGAAAGTCATCTTCAATACTTGTACTCAATTCTCCTCTGGGGGTGGTGTGGGGGGGCAGTGAAAGTCATCTTCAATACTTATACTCAATTCTCCTCTGAAAATGGTGTGAGGGCAGTGAAAGTCATCTTCAATACTTATACTCAATTCTCCTCTCAAAATGGTGTGAGGGCAGTGAAAGTCATCTTCAATACGTATACTCAATTCTCCTCTGGGGGTGGCGTGAGGGCAGTGAAAGTCATCTTCATTACTTATACTCAATTCTCCTCTGAAAATGGTGTGAGGGCAGTGAAAGTCATCTTCAATACTTATACTCAATTCTCCTCTGAAAATGGTGTGAGGGCAGTGAAAGTCATCTTCAATACTTATACTCAATTCTCCTCTGAAAATGGTGTGAGGGCAGTGAAAGTCATCTTCAATACTTATACTCAATTCTCCTCTGAAAATGGTGTGAGGGCAGTGAAAGTCATCTTCAATACTTATACTCAATTCTCCTCTGGGGGTGGTGTGAGGGCAGTGAAAATCATCTTCAATACTTATACTCAATTCTCCTCTGAAAATGGTGTGAGGGCAGTGAAAGTCATCTTCAATACTTATACTCAATTCTCCTCTGGGGGTGGTGTGAGGGCAGTGAAAGTCATCTTCAATACGTATACTCAATTCTCCTCTGAAAATGGTGTGAGGGCAGTGAAAGTCATCTTCAATACTTATACTCAATTCTCCTCTGAAAATGGTGTGAGGGCAATGAAAGTCATCTTCAATACTGATACTCAATTCTCCTCTGAAAATGGTGTGAGGGCAGTGAAAGTCATCTTCATTACTTATACTCAATTCTCCTCTGAAAATGGTGTGAGGGCAGTGAAAGTCATCTTCAATACTTATACTCAATTCTCCTCTGAAAATGGTGTGAGGGCAGTGAAAATCATCTTCAATACTTATACTCAATTCTCCTCTCAAAATGGTGTGAAGGCAGTGAAAGTCATCTTCAATACTTATACTCAATTCTCCTCTGAAAATGGTGTGAGGGCAGTGAAAGTCATCTTCAATACTTATACTCAATTCTCCTCTGGGGGTGGTGTGAGGGCAGTGAAAGTCATCTTCAATACGTATACTCAATTCTCCTCTGGGGGTGGTGTGAGGGCAGTGAAAGTCATCTTCAATACTTATACTCAATTCTCCTCTGAAAATGGTGTGAGGGCAGTGAAAGTCATCTTCAATACTTATACTCAATTCTCCTCTGGGGGTGGTGTGAGGGCAGTGAAAGTCATCTTCAATACTTATACTCAGTTCTCCTCTGAAAATGCAGTGTGAGGGCAGTGAAAGTCATCTTCAATCATCTTCAATACTTATCAATTCTCCTCTCAAAATGGTGTGAGGGCAGTGAAAGTCATCTTCAATACTTATACTCAATTCTCCTCTGGGGGTGGTGTGAGGGCAGTGAAAGTCATCTTCAATACGTATACTCAATTCTCCTCTGAAAATGGTGTGAGGGCAGTGAAAGTCATATTCAATACTTATACTCAATTCTCCTCTGAAAATGGTGTGAGGGCAGTGAAAGTCATCTTCAATACTTATACTCAATTCTCCTCTGAAAATGGTGTGAGGGCAGTGAAAGTCATCTTCAATACTTATACTCAATTCTCCTCTCAAAATGGTGTGAGGGCAGTGAAAGTCATCTTCAATACTTATACTCAATCTGGGGGTGGTGTGAGGGCAGTGAAAGTCATCTTCAATACTTATACTCAATTCTCCTCTGAAAATGGTGTGAAGGCAGTGAAAGTCATCTTCAATACTTATACTCAATTCTCCTCTGGGGGTGGTGTGAGGGCAGTGAAAGTCATCTTCAATACTTATACTCAATTCTCCTCTGGGGGTGGTGTGAGGGCAGTGAAAGTCATCTTCAATACGTATACTCAATTCTCCTCTGAAAATGGTGTGAGGGCAGTGAAAGTCATCTTCAATACTTATACTCAATTCTCCTCTGAAAATGGTGTGAGGGCAGTGAAAGTCATCTTCAATACTTATACTCAATTCTCCTCTGAAATGGTGTGAGGGCAGTGAAAGTCATCTTCAATACTTATACTCAATTCTCCTCTGAAAATGGCGCGAGGACAGTGAAAGTCATCTTCAATACTTATACTCAATTCTCCTCTGAAAATGGCGCGAGGACAGTGAAAGTCATCTTCAATACTTATACTCAATTCTCCTCCGGGGGTGTTGTGAGGGCAGTGAAAGTCATCTTCAATACTTATACTCAATTCTTTTTTGGGGGTGGCGTGAGGGCAGTGAAAGTGATCTTCAATACTTATACTCAATTCTCCTCTGAAAATGGTGTGAGGGCAGTGAAAGTCATCTTCAATACTTATACTCAATTCTCCTCTCAAAATGGTGTGAGGGCAGTGAAAGTCATCTTCAATACTTATACTCAATTCTCCTCTGAAAATGGTGTGAGGGCAGTGAAAGTCATCTTCAATACTTATACTCAATTCTCCTCTGAAAATGGTGTGAAGGCAGTAAAAGTCATCTTCAATACTTATACTCAATTCTCCTCTGGGGGTGGTGTGAGGGCAGTGAAAGTCATCTTCAATACTTATACTCAATTCTCCTCTGGGGGTGGTGTGAGGGCAGTGAAAGTCATCTTCAATACGTATACTCAATTCTCCTCTGAAAATGGTGTGAGGGCAGTGAAAGTCATCTTCAATACTTATATATACTCAATTCTCCTCTGAAAATGGTGTGAAGGCAGTGAAAGTCATCTTCAATACATATTCTCAATTCTCCTCTGGGGGTGGTGTGAGGGCAGTGAAAGTCATCTTCAATACGTATACTCAATTCTCCTCCGAAAATGGCGCGAGGACAGTGAAAGTCATCTTCAATACTTATACTCAATTCTCCTCTGAAAATGGTCCTCTGAAAATGGCGCGAGGACAGTGAAAGTCATCTTCAATACTTATACTCAATTCTCCTCTGAAAATGGCGCGAGGACAGTGAAAGTCATCTTCAATACTTATACTCAATTCTCCTCTGAAAATGGCGCGAGGACAGTGAAAGTAATCTTCAATACTTATACTCAATTCTCCTCTGAAAGTGGCGCGAGGACACTGAAAGTCATCTTCAATACTTATACTCAATTCTCCTCTGAAAATGGCGCGTGGACAGTGAAAGTCATCTTCAATACTTATACTCAATTCTCCTCTGAAAATGGCGCGAGGACAGTGAAAGTCATCTTCAATACTTATACTCAATTCTCCTCTGAAAATGGCGCGAGGACAGTGAAAGTCATCTTCAATACTTATACTCAATTCTCCTCTGGAGGTGGTGTGAGTCGACAAACAGTTGCATCAAAGAGGGAGCCTTGACCCCCGGCCTCGAAGATGTTCGGCTCCAGGTTGCCAGCCGCTAGAGAGATCCGCGCCCGTGAGACCTGAACACGCGGCATCCGGTCCCAAAGAGCACAGGGTAGAACTTTGGGTAAGGCGAAAGAAAACCAAACCCATGTGGGTGTGGCTCAAAATTAAACCAAAGAATTACGCAGGTGTTGGTCCATGTTTCCACTTACCAGGGTTCCATTTTGGTACCGGATTTTTGAGCCACAGCCATGTGCCCTTTGATTAAAAAAGAAAACCAACCCCGAACCTTGCGGAACTCTTTGTTTGGGATCACACTCTGACTAGAATTCTGGGACCGGATTCTACTTGCGAAGAAAGCGCCTCCGGGATGCTGCAGTGGCAGGAGACCTGGCACCGCCATTCACAATGTCAAAACTCCAGGCCACGGTCAATGGGACTCCTTGTCGGGTGAAAGTACATGGTACAAGTCCATCATTTTGTCTTAGTCATCCCTTTGCTTACCCTCAAAAATGGGAATTGTGTCCACTTTCACCCTGGTGCACATTGATTTTCTCGAAAATAGCACACAAGAAGCCAACAATCCAAAACACTTAGCCCTTTTCCTACAAACAGGTATCCAGCTACATTTGTATGGAGAGCAACGGAACAAGCACACGGCCAGGAACACATCAACCATCTCGTTTCAGTGCATGTGTTCAGTGTATTATGTGTATGCATATATATACATATATGTATTTATTATTACTATTATTATGACTAGTATTACTATTATTACTATTATTAGTAGTAGTAGTATTATTAGTAATATTGTTATTATTACTATTATTGTTGTACATGTTTTGGTACTATGCAGGCTTCGCTCTTCTGCACCCTCAGGGCAATCTAGTGGCATCGAGTAAGCCCAGACTTGGCGCGAGATTCCTCCAAGCCCGGGGGCCCATGGCGCTATGAGCGGTGGCCGAAACGGCCGAAGCGCCCCCGCCTTCAACTCGCCGCTCGCCAGCTGCCAAACGCCTCTGGTGCCAAAGCCCCGTTTGGCTTCCGGAAACCCGGCAATGGCTGGCCCTGGCAAATGGAAACAAGGCCGAAAACCTGCGGTTCACATCCTGGTGGTCTAATTTTGACCCATCATTTGATCTCCGGACGGGTTGCTTTGGTGCAAGTACCTCTCTCTGATCGCCCCAACCGAAAATTGAGTGGCGTTGACCAGACCAGCTCGCTGGGAGCACTCCGGTGGCGGAAATGAAAAGAAGCTCCGGGCTGTGACGGAAGCTCTGGGCTCCAGCACTGAGGCTTGTTTTCAGCTGCTTGAAGCTGGCATCCTCCTGGGCGAGCTAGCGGGAAGCTCCCGGAAAGCGACTCTGGAAAAGCGGCTTCCCCGACACATGAGACACAGACTGCTCGTCAGAATTCGAAGCCCGGGCGAAAACAAGCCACGAGGCCGCGTGCGTGTGACTGCTCTACTTTTCAGTTGTCTCAAAGTTGTGCGCCCGAAAGCCATGATTCTCAAACTGGCACGCCCCTGCGAGCCTCTTTTTTTTGGGGGGGGGGAGGGGGTTCGCCCTTCTGCGTTCACAATGTGAGTCTGGTTCTTGGAGCTTGTCAGCCCATGGCCTGTGCGAGGCCCAACTCGATGCAGTGGCCTCAGAGCCGCAGTTCCAGAGCCGAGAGGCGCGACTTGGGGTCGGTCGAAGTGACATCCGAATTAACTGCAAAATGATTCAAATCATCATCAAACTCATCATCAAAATCATCATCCGAGTTAACCTAAACAAAATTGCAACAACCTGAAAAAAATGTGAACCCTCAAAAAG